GGGTAGAAGGAACAAAAACGGTGAACCATCTGGTGAGACCTTTGGTTCGGGGGGCTACCAATCAACGCATCCTACGGCTTTGATTTCGTCGAACCCCCTATGATCCACCCTCCCCACGAAATAATTGGCACACCAGAGTAGATGGACTCATATCATAGGTATCGTAAACCATGCCTTTAAAGATAGTTAATAGGCCTTTCAAGATAGCTAATAGGCCTTTAGAGATATTTTAAAGACATACTAACTATCCTTCGTAGCATAATGTTAGAATATGATATGGATTAACCTACTTGTGTGTATCAACTATTTTGTGGTAAGGGTGTTAACGTACAGAACGAACAGGCTTTCACAAGCAGGGCTGAATGGGAAAGTTGTCCACGCGCACCACCAATTCAGGGGGTATAGTTTGGTTGCCCAGGGGAAGCATATCTCGGCCAATATCATCGTGCCAACACCCCTCGTCTCTTTCAGCTGCTTTCAAGCAACATTGAAGGACGATTGTTTGATTCGCCGGCTGCCATGTCTGTTCTTTCCGGGATTTTCGGAGCTCTCTGGGTTTGAGCATCAGAGCTTTCAAAGGTAACACTAGACGGGCTTTCTTCTCTCCATGTATCCACCCGCCGACTGCATTGTTGACAAGCCAATTTTTTTCGTCGCACCATCACAACAGTCCATAAAACAGGTATAACCGGGGAAAGTCAACTAATGACCCGGTACGACCAAAGAGCGTGTGCTACCCAGCTCAGTTTGCTGGTGAGTATATCCTATCCAAGAACCACCTCCCTTCGCCCCAAAATTCTGGGACGTTTGTTCTACATAAGGTAGCTATCCCTCAGACCACAACTGAGAACGGGCGAGCCGGACTGCTGGGGTTGTGGCTGGCTGAGTTAAGAGCGACCCCCCACTCAAACTATTTGGGTGGAAGGGGGGCAAAAACGACACAGAAGAAGGGTTGGGTGGTAATCAATCTATCCCCCGCGGAAGCGAACCTGAAGTGTGTGTTGTTTTACAACATTCGCCCCTCTCTCTTCCTGTGGGATATAGCAGCTGCTGCTGGGCGGGTGAAACGCAAGCAAGCAAGCAAAAGCAAGCAGGGTAATTTGGATGCAAAGGTAAGCTGCCAGATTTGACGCAGGAGAATAGGAGGGATAGGGGGAGGGCAGGTATGGGAAATTCGGAAGCGGACTGGAAAGATGCAAAGGTTATAGTGATGGTGTGGTGTGGTCGTTTAAGGCGGTCGCAGGTAGGTTGCCTGATGGTGGTGGTGGTGGTGATGAATTGGGGAAGTGCGACAGTTTTACATCCTCAAAAAACGGTCAGAGAAACGGTGTTGTGGGGTTTTTGGACTGAAGTAACATCGCCGATACCAAGACCCAGAGGAAGAGCTGAGGGACAAAATTCCCTGGGAATCGTGATCCGACGATGCCGAGGAGTTTTGTCAACCAAAAAGGCCAAGAGGCATATGAATCTACTTTAAATCAATTCGCCATCTCATCGCCTGCCCAGTGATCAACTCCCAGAGACCAAGTTCGCCGGCGCGGTCAGAATAAAATTATGGATTCTATCCTCCCAAACGGAGCCTTTCCGCAGTGGGTTCTCTGGGGAATGTGACATCGTTATGGGGTCTTTGATGGAGACAACGGCGATTGGAGCCAGATTTCCCCAGACTTTGGTGTGTTGCTTCTTTTCTTGGGTGAGGGTTACAGTGGAATTGGGGAAAGAGAAGGAAGAAGAAATTGCTTGGTTGGGAAGTCCTCCGCAGAACGAAATGGGAAGTGAATGATCTGATGATTATGGTGAGATTGCGCTCTTTTTTGTTCGAAGCTGAACATACATACATGTGTAGGATTTGGAGGGATTGATGATGTGTCAGAAAATATCAGGCTTTTAACAGTTGCTTCCAGTCCGCGGTTATCGCTTATGGCGGGAAAGAAAAGTTTCTGGGATTTCTCGGGATGGTTTCGACGCTGCCGAAATTGTCAACCTGTCATGAACCACAGGCTTGGGATTTTTTTTGTTCCCGAATGTGTTTGGAGGCTGGGTGGTGAGTGGTGTATGGGTGGAGTTGAGTAAGATGATGTCTCACTAACAGATCTGCAACCTCTTGCAAGGCATATAGCAATAGTAGTTTGTTTATCTTGCCATAGTCAACTATCTCGGCAAGCACAACGCGAGCATCACAAGCAAACACAACACCACCTATTATCCTTTGCAATTTTTTCTTTATGATCAATTCAATTTGACGACATGAACAAATCTGCAAGTTCTTTTGTGTCTCGATCGAGAGTCAAAACCACGATCCTATGTCCCCGCGCGTTCCCGACCCCGAAAAGTGATCGGAACATTTCCTCTGCAGCCTGCCGCCGCAAAAAGCGCAAACAAGATCGAAGCCGTTTGAAGACACACAAGGAAAAAAAAGAAATCTCAGTGTGGTGGGACATGCGGGTTTGATTCGCATCTCAAAAAAAGCAAAAAGAAAAATTCGATCAAGATCTGAGATCGGCACCCAGGCCCTTGTGTGATTTGTGACCAGAATCGTGTTTCAAACATGCCCATCAGTGACATCCGTATGCAGGCAGAAAGAAGCAACGGGGGATGCAGAGAAGAATGGAAGGCCAAGGATGAGACGAGACAAGGCTGTCTCATGAGTGTGATATGGCAAGGCAGGTAGCAGAGGGGTAAATACACAGTAGGATTTCAATTGATAATTATTAAGTCTTGGTGGTGCTAGTTCGCAGCTGAAGAGACCGATTTCCTGGTCTATATCATTGTAACTTAATTCCACCGTGTCATGAGGCTCTCGTTTGCTGTTGGGCGGCGCAGCAGGGCCCCGGGTTCCTGGACAGGAGGTGGTCAGCGTCGTGTTGCGTGCGACGCTGTGGTTGATGATGATGCGGCACGGGTTGACTGAGGGATCTGGAACCTGGGATGGCCTCAGAAAGCGGCAGGCAATGATTGCAAATAAGAGATGATCCAAACTCTGTGTGAGAGATTGCAATTAATGCATCCATTGAAACTCCATAGCTATTGCTATGAGGTCAGGACTACCTGATTTTATCCCAGTTGACTTTTACCAGCCCTCCCGGTTACTATGAGACATAAATATCCCAAACCCCTGGAAACTTTTTGAAGGACAAGAATGTCTCAGGTTTAATCCAAAATAAACATAAAGAAAAGTCCGAACTCGATGTCGCATCAAAGCTGTAACTCGAGTTCCCATCATACCTCGTGTGTACATGACAGATATAAAAGTCATAAAGTGATTGTAAATGAACCATAAAAAAAACAAGGAAAAATCCAGGGGTATAATTCTCCGTAGCCCGTTTCCCACCGCTACCCAGAACCACCGCGCAACTGCTGTCTTGCAATAACAGCCAAAAAGCAAAAAAAAAAAACAAAAAAAAAAGTGGCTGCATAGAATACATGTGAATTAGGCCCTGAGCCATATCCAAAATCTCTGTATTTCGAGTCTTAACGCCAAAAAACAATCAAGGCGATACTATTAAGAAACAAAAAATGATGGCAGCATGTTCAATCTCGACCCAGCGTATTTGAAGGTGGCTCAATGGGAGACCGATCCTCGGCGTGTGATGCCGACCCCGCCAACTCCGTCATGCTTTCTGTCTCGTACGTCTTGTCGCTGTTCTTGAATGCGTTCCGTCCGCTGCTCATCATCTGGAAGGAACCATCGCCGTGGGAATGCTGATCCTTGTGTCCAAACCAGGCCTTGGTATCCTCCCACAGCAGTTGACACGCTCTCCACGATGTGACGACGTAGATGATGGCGTTCCAAAAACCTTGGAGAGGAAGCACAAAGGCGGACATGTATTCAAGTGGAAGCGACGCTTGCTCCCTATGGACGACAGAATACACGCGGTTGGCGCTAGAAGGAATCCATGTAACAAGCATGGCGGTGAAAAATAGGATGGAGCACTTTGTGTAGGACCAGGTCGCATTGTTGGCTTCATAGGCAGCTCGACGGCGGAGTGGGTTAGCCCCAGCGGTGGCGTTGCGTGTCGGAGGATCGATTGTGATGTTAGTTTGTGTGGTCGGCGGTATATCGCCGTAAGAGTCCCGCTCGGGAGCTCGCTTGTTAGATGATATGTGAACTGAGTAGGCAGCATTCGGTGCTTTCGGTTGTTCGTTTCCGCTTTGTACGATGCCCAAGGTTGCAAGACTTTTGTCAATGACTTCAGAGGTAACCGAAACCTCGGTGGTCTTGACCGAGCTGAAGGGGTCCTCTGTGATCGGTTCGTGGTCGTGGTGACTGGTGCTAAAGTTACGGAGTTGCTTGTGTTTCTTGTAGATTTCGCGGCCGGCGCGGATGTAAATGAAAAAGGTGATGAGAATAACAATCCTAGAAGACCGAAACGCTTAGTGTTTGGTTCGAGTGGGAGAGATCTTGGGTAACAACTCACCAGATCGGTCCGTAGAACGTCGCAATGCGGAAGATGTCCCACCTAGGGCTCACCCAGCACCACAGCGTTGCGTTCCCATACATCTTGCCTTTTTCCGGGGTCTCAATGAAGATGAAGGTGAGGGCGACGATGAAGGGAATCCCATAGCAGCAAAGAAGATAGGGGATTTCCATCTTTCGTAACCGAGCTCCATCAAACTTGAAATAAAAGGTCAAATACACATTGACCGCCATGGCCAATGTCCAAAATGTATCAGCGGGCATGAACCTGACGAGACAAATCAGCAACTGAATGGTAAGGTCCTTTTCTCCCCCCGCAAAAAACGTACATTTGAATAAGAAATCCCTGGAATTGGCAGCCAGCCGATCTTGGATTCGCGATGAAGGACCGAGCCATCAACGTGGCAGCATTGGTCATGAGATTGCCAAACGAGGCATAGAATACTAGACGGTTGATGGGTTTATGGAACGCTTTGGAGGCGCAAAAGGTGCCAATCACAAGGACTGAGCCGAGGAGGGAAAAGACGGAGCAGGTGCGCTCAATGATGCTGAACACATCGACCGGGAGCTCGGCCCGGGGATTGGTTGTTTCGGCCATCTCGATCACTTGCGCACCATGAAGTCGAACGGAAGTGTTTGAAGAACAGCAACGGCGTCGCGATGTAGTTGTGTTCCCGGGCACGACTGGCTTTTAATCAGATCTTCCAAGTGACTGTCTCCCGCCGGTCTCTGGCTTTGTCGTCAGTAAGCGTAGAGTTTTCCTCGGGTTGAGAGTGAAGTGCTGGCGTGAGTGCGATCAAACAAGCTTCGGAGTGTTGGCATCGGCGTAGATGTTGGCGAGGTCAACAAGGCCGTGTGCGATGTTGAACCCAGCTTCCCATCGCGAGACCCAGGACAGTGGAATCGAGGAAGGTGTAGAGGGATAGTGGGGATTCAAGTATTCAACCAGAGCTTGGGAGAGAAACGGAGCCCGGACGAAAAGGAGCACCTACCTGATCCCAGAACGGCTAGCCAGAATGCAAAGCGTCATGAAGAGGACATGGAGAAATGCCATGCAGGGCCCAACCACGAACCAGGCCAGCTTCGCGGTGGCTTGGCTGTATCCCAGGGGTTGCAACACTAAGCAAAAGACGGTCTAGATGAACGGGAGGGTACACCACTGTACCGTGTCTTCTCCCACGGATCGTTGCCCCTCGATCTGCATATGATGCAGACAAAAGCTGGGCAAAAGGGGGCCATGGGTACTGGCACAAATACTTGCCTGTAGAGAAACGAAGAGATGGCTTATGGACACGGATGTGAAGGCGTAGGATTGGCTGAGAGGTCAAATAAGGTGGGTAGCCCAACGCTGTGTACGGATGATAAACGAGAAGGAAAAGGCAATCTGCGACATGCTCGGTCCGCTCCCGAAAGTACGTGTACGCCCATAATACACCTTACATATACTGGAGGATATCTGCAATTCTGGTCAGTTTTCTTTCGCAACAATTAACAGGTGCTTGACTGAAGACCTCGACACACAGCGACAAGCGGGGTTGTTACCAGTCCAAGATGTGGTTCTTTGGTTCCCATTTTCTTTCTCGCAGGGGTCCCAGAGCTCCCCCAGAAAGATCCACTTCCGATGGTGACATACCCCTGCGGGTACCCTGCAAGTCATCTTGGCGTTGAAAACGTCGCTTTCCGTTCAGGCTCACACTGCCTTATCCGTATCCTTCGACATCAGCATGATCAACCATCGGATGGAAAAAGAAGAAAGGAAACACCACGCTTTGCCGGTTGTACGGGATTGTATGTATGTCGTGGGATGTGACGGCTTCCTGTTTCCATTGCCAAACATCATCCGTGTTCGATTGACACTTCTGAATTCTAGGCTGTATTGGGATGCTGGGATATCCCGACAGAAACGGACTTGACGGTGTCTTTCCAAAGGCCCTCGCCGCTATCGTTTGCCCAGGCGTTTGCTACGATCTGAGTCGTGAAAGGGGAGCAAGAGGGCTGTGACACACTGGTCATCATTTGCTTTGACGTTTCTCAGCGAAGCGTTGATGTCCAAACTGGCTGTCTGAATGACTCGGGGAAAGAGGGTATTACCCAAGTATTTCGTAGCTACCAGTTCAGATGGTGCTCAACTCGACCCGCCAAACAAGATATCAGATCCATTGTTACCTCCCTCATCAAAATGGCAAAGAGATGGATCAATTGAGGCTGGGGGAAACACATCAACCACGTGGGAGGACTCCACACTTAACCAGGCCCCCCGGCAACCATTACGTGAGCCAAAACCGTTTCGACTGTTGACCGTTTTCAACCCCGGCTAGCGTTCCCCGCTTTGAGATGGCTTCTCCGTTCTTGCAGTGAAGACCCAGGTTTTTCTGTGTCCTCAACCATGGCTCGTCTCCTGCACGCTCAGACTGGCTTCACGACAATCACCATTTCACCAACCACTTTTGGGTTCTACTGTCTCCAACCGTTGCTAGCTTGCGGAGTCTCGCAGTCTTTCATCAATTCTCTGTTGACGCGAGGAAGACAGACGGGCAGTAGTATTCGTATCTACAATTATCCGACTTCGGATGTCTGTAGCACCGGTAGATGCTTCATCATATTTTACCCGACATGCCTCTCGCCCAGCTCGACACGGGTAATCGATGTTTTGTACGAAGTAGTCGACAAGGCTGCCAAGATTTGTTTCATCAACCACACGGCATGCCCGGTGGCGTCGAGGGCATCGACCACGAGTTCGTAGGGCTCAGGGGTTGGCTCTTCGGCGTTCTTAGCTTGTCACGCATGTCAAGATGCTGCTAAACTTGAGTTTTGAGACCTGGTCCTAGTCATCACCCCTCAACCACAGATTTACAAATCTCGTCCACATACATCGTCACATGGTAAAACCGATGCCAAGTCGACACTCCAAGCATCGCTTGCTTCACGAGATGAGTGCTTCACCACGCCCTTCACCACATCGTCTACAGGCGAGATAGAAAAACCCCCACGCAACCCATCATTCCATCGAGATTCTATCGGAAAGCTCGGCCGGCAGAGAGATTGGAAGTTCAACCCCCTCCTACCTCCAAACACTCCAAAGTTTGGGTGTGTGTCTGTGCTGATAGTTTCCCAGGCGGATAGCTCTAGACCAGAGCTCCTGCCCTCCTTTCGGGCGGGCTTCTGTCGACATATCGGCGTTGCAATCTTTTCTGACTGCCTGGTAGCGAGGTATTGCTGCATGGAAACCGACACCCGTGCCGCTTCTCGCAGAGACCAACTCTCCCGCAGGCCTGGTTGGAAGGGATACGACACCCAGTTTCTGACTGAGCCTTGGTATGGCAGCTCCGGAAGCTGCGAGCTGGTTGCCAAACCTACATGTCATATGGCGGCCAGCCTTATGCGAGCTTGTCAGTTGTACTGAGCAACCCATCACCACTCATACAGAACACTGCCAGCCTTTCACCGATGGTGGTGCAATCAGTGTCAAGAACACTGCGGTTCTGGCGCTCCCGTTGAGCTTAACTCAGCGCAACCTATATCCCCCTCACTTTTGTTGAAGCAATATCAAAGCACGGACTCCCAAGAATCACAACCCAATCAATCCGCCTCGCGAGGTCCACTAGACCTAAAGCTCAGACACGGCCAAGAACCCGCTTCCTTTTTAACCATGCTCGACCACGAGGAAGTAACATTCTTAGTCCCTCGCGCCGGCTCGTACACAAAAAAGGAATTTGTTGGAAAATCCCCAGTGCGCAGCAATGAAAAGAGCAAGGTGCCTGGTTCTAGCTGGCAAGCCACCCGCTCAACGGCGTCAACAGTTCTCCGAAGCCATTGAACGCCTCACCCGGAGGACTTTTCCGCTTATGGGTAAAAGAATGGCAACCGTGCGCCGGTCGTCGGCAAACGCCACCGATCAGATGGGTAAAACGGTCATCATAATATTCTTGCTTTTGCAGAATGCATTCTGTTTGCGCTCAAGCCTTTTTTCTTCAGCAGAAAAATGTGTGGGAAGGAATGTTCTGTGGCCTGCAGGTGAGGGGAGGGGGGGGGGGGCCGGGCGTCGAAACTGGCCCATGGAAAGGGGTTGGTTAATTGGCTGAAATGGGGGTTGTCGTCCCAAGTTGGGAAGGTTTGTGGTGTCTCTTGTAACCTGGTCGTCGGTCCAGTCCCAAGAATGCGGGAGGGACTCGGACTTCCTTTTTGCCTGTACCCCGCACCGTCACCGGTCGCCAATGCATGTAAGTCTCCCGTTGATGGCCCTGCTCCGGAGTCCCGGCCGGGTGAGCCGTTAGTGTTTGCTTTTGGAGGGCATCCTTCTTTGTAACGGTGGGTGGTGGGTGGTGGGTGGCATCCAGCATTCAGTGATGGAGTGGTGTAAGTGACGTTGATGTGATGGTATTTGTCAACTTTCATCCTATCATTGCTAGGGCGAACTTGGACAATTCACTTAATGGTCACTTTTGTCTCTCAATGGCGAATTAGTTTGTATGCACGGACGCATTGCAATGATATCCAAGCCTTTTTTTTTTTTTTAGATAACTACCCTTGACTTCAAGTGTTTATTCCATAGCGCTCAGTCAACCACCACTGCCTACTGCACCTCGTTTTCAACAAAGCGACAACCATGCAATCTTTCTGCAAAGTTCGCAGGATAAAAGACACTTTACGCGGGGGTCAGGGGTGGTGTCTAAGCACAGAAACCACCTGAGCAGCCTTGCATAATAAAGGACTGTCACGGATGATTTTGGGGAATGGAAGAGGAACTGGCTACAAGCAACATGGACAGCGCCTACATACATGCCTAGCTAGGCATCCGGAGAGGTGCCAGTTGCAAACAGCATATCACAAAGCAGACAGACAGATATGTGTATGCCCTTTAGTGGTGATAATCACAGCTTTCTTTCTGGCCCGGTGTTGAACATGTCTATGATGCCCCCTCGGAAAGAAGCAGGGTCCATCAGATCTAATCCCACACTTGAGTATAATCTACGAGCAGCAGAGGTTGAAACGGAAGTCGGAGAAGAACGATGATGAGGAAAAGTGAACCTATCAACCGCCGTGAGAGAACGTCAAAGAGCGAAATTATGCTGCCTGTCGTGTGTGTGGCTATCATACCTAGGGGAGTAACCACCCCGAGTTATAACAAGACACAACCAGTTTCACCATCCAAAGCCACCAAACGTACAAGAGAAAAAACTAGCATTGTTTGTTTGTTTAGTAGACTATGAGCATCCGTCCCCTCCCCCCCCCAACCCGCATATGCAAAGCTTTTCAGCACTCTCATCCTGTTCATACACATACCTCAATCACACCGCATTCACGCCATCCCCCATATGTCCCAAACCCCATCATGAACCCCCCAACCCAACTCCCCTATGATCACGTACTATTCATACAACACATCAAAACAAAAAGAAACCTTCCCCATCCCCATGACAAAACATCAGCCAAAGAGACTCAAACCCAGATCATACAAAAGTTCGTTTCCTTGTCGGAAGCTACATACACTACATGAAAAAAAAGACCCCCAAAGCTAAGTAAGATCCTCGAGCTTTGTGAAGGGGTGGGGGGGGGGGGGGGGGAACAGAAAAGAAAAACAAACGCCACTGACCAAACCAGCCTGGTTTCCAACCTTGCCCCCTGACTTCAAGAGAAACTTCCTCTCTTACCCGGTGAAAGAAAAGCCCGATTTGGAAATCTCTATCACAAATATACAGGCTGAATAAAAAGGCTAGCCCCCCATTTCGTTTGCCCAGCTTCCAGTTTTTGAGATTATTGTTGGCCCCGTTCATGAGAATGTTGCACAACTTGTCCAAAGTCAGAACAGGCGCGGTACCAGAGAAAGAAAAATTCATGCCTGAATGGAGGGAGCCCTTGGTCGGTAAAAAAGCCAACTGTTGTTACAATAACTCGATGGCAAAGCCGTTTCGATGCACAAGGAGACCGGTCGCTCTGTCCTGTAATTCCAGGGGCAATAATTGATGCTGTGGAGGCCGAAAAGGAACAAATAGCAAGAATGTTGTCGAGTTTCGATACAGCTGGTTCCATTGGCAAGTGATCGTCAGAAAGAGCGCCCAGTATCGTTGGGTCCAGCAGGTTAGTACGAACTGCGGTGAGAGTTGCCGCTACAGTCTTCACCATTCTTGGTTGCCTGGATGATGGAGTACTCCCAGTAGGTACCAAGCTGAATGCACTCCTCGACGCATTCCGTAATCTCCCACCACCAGGCCTTTGCGCGCACATTCTTGGACCACATGTCCTGCCACAGCATCCTGCCAACCACGCTCCGGAGGTCTCCCATAATCATGGCCTCCTGGTCGTGAGGATCCATTGCTCTGGCCTTGCCCTTGCCATTGTCGTGGCGCGACTGGGAAGGCGGGATGGCTTGGAACTTGTTCTTGGTGGTGAAACTGTTCAAGCCGTCGAGCTTGGCTGCCTCCAGCCATCTCGGAAACACTCTGCTGGGGGTGATGCATCGAAATTCGGCCTCGAGGCTGGTAGTCAGGTGTTCTTCCAGCCATTCTCTCATGTGTGGTCCTAGAGAGTGGGCTACTGGTGATGGATCTATCACCACAAGATGCAACACTCCTTGAGGGGCGAGACAGTGGTAGATCTTCTGGAGAAGCTGGGGAATCTCTTGGCTTGCCAGCAAAGAGGGCATGGACAAACAATGCACCGAGGTGAATTTGTTCGCTTCCAGGGCAAGTGAAGGTGAGACAGGCCAGGGAAAGGACTGGACATTCGGGTACTGAAGATGAGGAATGGGAGTTGAGTTCATGTGCTTGATACTCGTCTCCGGGTGGAGGACTGCGAGATAGGATGTCGTAGCTGTAGACGACGAGTTAGCGGGGATTTCAAGCTATTGAAGAGAGCAGATGGTTCGTACAGTCAGAATCGAACAGTGACAAGACATCTGGACCTTGGACAAATGGCTGCGCTCCGGCCACAGTGACAGCTGTATTGTCACCGCCCCTGATCTGCTGTTCCATCCCGTACAGGGAGGCCAGCATCCATCGCTTCTTTTCCTGCTCAAGCTGCTGGTAGACTATGGGATCTGTAACAGTACCCCAGTTCTCCTTGAGACGTGCGAGGGCTACCTCAGGAGTTGCCTGGGCCATTCTCTTCAACTCCATCTGCAGAGCCTGAACTCTCAAAGTCGCCGCGTAAGCAGCCTCGGTGTCTTTTGGTAGCCGGACTCGCTTTTTTGGCACGACCAAAGGAACTTCTTGGGCAACTGGAGACGCCTCCGTGGCAGGAATAGGAGCTTCTTCGACACTGCCCCGCTTGGGTTTCCACTGATCAGGGGGCTTCCACCGATCTGGATTGTAGTAACCCTTGGGCTGATATGAGGGTGGGAGAGTGCTGAGCATTCTTGCTCTGGATGGACGAGGCGTAGGTTGAGTCGGAGGTCGGTTCGGGACCTCTGGCAAGGGGCCTCGAGGCAAAGGGGCCATCAGAGGTAGCTTGACAGCACCTTGTGACTGAGGGTGCTGCTCGTTGGGCTGTTTGGGCTCCGGCATGGTGACGGGAATCGGTCTGTCTGACGCGTGAATAACTTCATACCAATTGTCAATGAAGTCTGATACTGACTTCTCAAGTTCTGTTGATAGAGAGGATATTGAGCGTGAATTCTGCGTTGCCGGAGTTTGCGGTATTGTGTTATTTATGAGAATAGTCGGTTGGTTTCCTAGGCTCGCGACTCTCACGGGACCAACAGCTCTGTTGTGGTCGGTGGTTGTGCTTTTCTTCATCGAGTCGCTCATTGGGCGCACGGGCTTTTGTGCCTCTGATGCAAGCACATCTCCCATCGTTCCTTCCCCCTGAAAGTCCAGAGACGGCGTTGTTAGGGCAGTGGACTTGGAGAGCATTGACTCTGGGGGACACATTAGCACTGCCGGTGTTGGCAATTGGAATGGTGTGGGTTTCCCAGAAACCATACCTTTGGATGATCTATCCGTTGGCGCCCCCCAGCTCCCACTTGTTACCGTGGTGGTGTCTTCTACAATGTCCTTTTCTGTGAGCGTGGTCTGCAGTCTGAGAGACTTGTCAGACACAGTCGACGACCGGTTTGTATTGCCCAGGGCCGAAACCGCAGCAGCCAGCAGAGATGTCCGTCTTGATTTGCCATCGTCCTTTGTCGTTTCTGGCTGCAATGTGTCCTTCCTCTTGTTCTTCATTGACATGCTGTTGCGCTTCAAGCCCATGGATTCAAAGAGGCTCATGGCTGGTCGCTCTTCAGTCGAGGAGGGGCGGCTGCCTGTTGACCCATGTACGCTCTGAACATCCTCCCTCTTTGAGTTTCTTTCGATTCCCTTGCGCGCTCGTCTCTCCCCAACCTTTTCGATAGAAACGTCGGACCAGTCGACGTCCCACATAGCGAACCTGCCACTGATGGCGAAAGCAGAAGGAAAACGAGGCTGTTTACAGGATGCCGGAAGAGCCAATGCGTATGCGATGCCGAGTTGAAACTGGTTGTTTGCCGAGACTAATGCTCAATTGCCCAGCCCACCGAAAAGAGAGAGCGAGTGCGAGAAAGAGCAACGACAAGCTACTGAATTACTGTGATTAGGTCCTCTGGGGTTAGATTGGCTGAGGTGGAGTGCAAGTGCCGAGATCAACCCTCTAGCCAACCCTGACCCTTTTTTTTTTTGGTGAATCGGCTCAAGTTGGCCTCGAGGGGGATGAAAGACCCGACGTAACCAACCCCTCACAAGAGGGGTAAGACGATAAATAGGTTGACCAGGATTGGCGATTGATTTTTTGTGTATTATTATTATGTCTTGCCACACAGGAGCTGGTGAAGTTGTGGTAGCTGTTGGCCTCTGGACACGCTGAGATGGGAGTATGATCCCCCTGCAATGCAGGGAATCGAGTGAGACACTGTCAGGTTGCGCTCGGTACGTGATTGGGCACTCGTGCATGCAACGAGGGAAGTTGAAGTCGTGCTGTGTGCCAGGTGCCTTTCTTGGGGCCGGAAAGGCAACTTCGAACCGCGAATGGGGGAAGAAGAAGCGGCGTTCTTCCAGGGCAAGGTTAGATGATGACAGGAGCAGGCAGGCCTATCAGGAAGCTGCTCGTCGTCAAATTGACAGCTGAGGTACAGTAGCTTCGACTTCAAGCGGTGGGATGAAGGGGTCCACTGGCGGGCACCGAAATCTGTGCTCCCTGAGAACCTCACGAGAAGTCTCGGCCGTTAGACTGCAGCTCGGCGTTCGCAAAGTCAACCCCTTCCCTGTCCTGCAAAGGTGTGTCCGCCAAACAAATCGCCATTCCAGATACATGGCGTCGTCTGGGGCTGATTTCTTCTGCAGCCAAAGGAACTTCAACGGCCAAACGCCATCTACCTCATCAAGTCAGACCATCTCGCATTTTTGTGAACCTCCACCCATCACGGCCCGCCCCTCGTCTGATCTCGAAGACCACGCCAACAGCCCTGCGGCGTCATCAAGAGCATACTTTTTCCTTATCGACGACAAAAGGCCGCTATTTGACGCTCTTCGACTCGGCCCAAGTTGGACAACAATGAGTTGATAGGGGTCACAAGAGACGTGGTACTACCACTGTCAGCCGTCCGGAGGTGCATTGGAAAGGGTAGGTAAGTGACGTGCAGTAAAATCCCACTTAATCCCGCCGCGCTGCCGTGGAAGGTAGGTAGGGTAAGAAAGATGAGATAGCATCATCACTCGCCTCACTACTAATATTGATTGCTCTAGACGGCCGATATCAGGCTCTCCCAACCACGCTTGGGGTGTTCGCGTCCTTCCTCGCGTCCTTCCTCGATGGAACTTCACCCACGTCTCAGATCTCACAGAGGACGCCAGATGCCATAGGTGTGATGTCCCACACGGACGGGAGCTTGGCTGCTCCTGGTGTAAATGCGACGGGCGGGCAGGTGAATGAAGGAATAAACAGATGAAGTTTGCCCAGTTCGCCCCTGCTTATCCCATGCAGTCCGCCTCACCCGCTCGTCGGATATGCTGGCACGCGATGGGTGTAATGAAAAAGCAAGTTCTGCAAATGGCTACAAGCCCTGGCCGCATATTGACATATTGATCCAGCCATGTTCGAGATAGAGCTTCCATGAGGAGGGCCGTTGACAGACGTTGAAAGAAGAAATGTGCTCGAGGTCCCTGACCCACATGTTGGATGCCAAGCCCAAGATCGCCGTTGATCTGGAGATCCACCAACCATCGAGCTGACCCATGTCCCTATCGGGTGGCATCCGGGGAACCGATCAAATCTTTCCTCAACTGCCGACAGGAGATGGAGCCTCAGTGGATCTTGGAGCTTCTCTTTCCAATTTCATTCACCAACGCCCGTATCGTTTTGTCCTCTTGGGGTCAAAAGGCGGGTTCGCATCAGCACTTTCAGAACACACCACACTATACCACACCACCCAGGCTTCAACATGCATACGCTTTGCCGTCGACAGCTTAAAGGGTAAAGCCCGGTTTCCAGAAATTCATATGCTTATAATTCTCAGATTCGTCGAAAAATATTTGTATAACATGGTCAGCTGAACTGTTCCAGAACTATTCGTACTTGGAGGCACCACCAGTTCAGCCACGGTGACATAGACCGTGTTTAAACGCCGCATTGGTCAACTTGGAATGATCAGATTGATTGCCAAAAGATTCGCCAGCAGCTGGGACATTCAACCGCGCCCTTATCTACCAAAGATGGCATAGTGTCTTGCCTCACGGTGATTGACAAATCTTCCGCTGATTCCCTGCGGCCCGTAGCCGTGTGCCTTCTGGCAGCACTCGGTGTTGATGTCTTGAACTGCTCGGCTATGGTTGTCATACAGCACAGAAGGGGAAAAAAAAAAAGGGGGGGGGGCAAAACGGTTGGTCCTTAGAATACCAGACAAACATTCTGGTGCATTAGAAACCGCATGGACTCGCCCCAAAAGGGCCGTTTAGCAGACACAGCAGCAGCGAACCAAGCAGCTTCAACGCGAGTAAACAAGATTCGGCCATGCGCTTATGCAGAAAGTTTCTGCTGCGGCTCCAAGGGGGGGGGGCGCCAGGAACAAGACACCTGCCGTATAAGGGGCTTGACTGACGCACAGCAAGTCGTGGTTCGTGAGCACGGAAATACGGCTGTATTCTCATGTCGTGTCAGAATTTGTGATCTCCGGCCTGCTTCTTTTGCCGATCCTGGCCTGGCACTGCGGCAGCGTGCTCTTCATGTTACACGCCTCTTCATCCTTTCTGTCAGTATTCCATCACTTACACCTACATGACTGGCTGGAATATCAAGGCTCTGTCAAAAAGGAACAGGGGAGAGGCTCTCACTCGTTGATGCTCCAGCTCGGAACTTGTCGAGGACCCTTTGTATTTAACTGAGTGGTTGCCACTTCCATACCGCCTCCTTACCGGCTGTTGAGTTTCTTAGTCCGATTGGGTGCTGATATGTAGAATTTATAGATACGGTCTTTCAGTGATCCACAAATCAAAATGTTGAAGTTGGTAATTTTTCCGGGGCGACCGTCTACCTAAGTGGCAGCATATCTACATCATAAGTTGGATTATCTTTTCTGTCTCTTGCTCAGTCAGGGTCTGGCCAGTATGCGTAGGCCACCCCAATAAGAGGTAGCACCCCGTCGAGTGACTGTACCAAGACCAGGCCCGCTCTCTTGACTTGCTCCTCCGGAGTACTGCTTTCCCCATCCCCACATTGCTTGCTCTTGGTGCTTTGGACACATTCTCAACACCTTGTGGACCCTTGGCCATTCTTGACCTTGCTCTCACAATCCAAGCCCGCCCTGACCATCAGAGCGACTTGTACAGGTTTGTCAACAAACCCAGCTCTCCCTCCTCTCTGCTACGCCGTTCTCAAGAGAGACTCGCAGATTCCACCGCCTCAAAAATTATCACCCACTTCGAATGGTTCGACCCCCCGCCGTGACATCATGGACCACTTTGACCACTTCTCGTGGGAGAGCCCTGAGCTGGGTCCGAAGAAAAAGCCGTGAGTTTGTCTCCGCCCTGTCAATCTCCTTGAACAGTCGAATTCCCTTTGCTGCCGCTGTCACCCTGCCGTGCCTCCGGGTCGGTCAGCTGCGGCACTTGTCCCAGGTCTTCTGGTTCACCCCGGACAGGGCCGGTCAGACAGGGCGTCTGGTGCTCTGGACGGCCATTTAAGTTGGAATGCCGTGGAACCGGGCATTGCTTCACCGTCGTGCCTCATTCTTCTGGGGATCTCTGAGTACCCCTCCACTATCCTTGTATGCCCCGAGCTCGATTGTTTCCGAGAAACAAGGCTCTCTTTGCCCACACGCGCGCTCTTAACAAGGGGCTGTCTGGGCTGCGGAGTACACACACAACGACCCCTGGGCGGCGGGGTTGATTGATTCAGTCATTTCCTTCTCTCGCTTCCCCTCGGATTGCCTTGCCCGTTTCTGCTTCCGTTTGTCACTCATGACTCAATGAATTTTCATACTGACATTCGCAGCGCTGGGATTGAGATGGGACCTGTCGGGAGCTGTTCGGCGCCTGAGGCTGATGACCATGCTGATGGGAGTCTGCCCACAAGGCACAGAAGCTGGAAGGCACGGGCACTTGACTCCTTCAAGGACCGCGTTGGGAGGGTTGATGAGCGAATGAACAACTCGGTCGTTGGCCGGGTGTTCAACCTCAAGGGGAGCGGAGTGAGTATGGCTCCAAGTAAGAGAAACAGAACACTGGCGGCTGACATGCTTCTACCACAGCCTAAGAGTATTCCCGATGCCAACTTCTCTACAGAGTTGCGGGCTGGCCTCACTACATTTGCCACCATGTCCTACATCATTGCCGTCAACGTAAGGTGTCGTTGCGGCATATTCCTTACACTTGGTATTCTGACACCCTCACAGGCCTCCATTCTCGCAGACACGGGGTTCGATTGCGAATGCAAAAAACCACTCGACAACGCGGGCAACTGTGTAAACAACAAGGAGTGGACAGCTTGCTACGAAGGTCAGTTGAAAATCCATGAAAGCATATACTTCATGTGTCACACATACTGACAAGAAATCAGAGGTCAAGCTGGATCTTATCACTGCCACAGCTGCGGTGGCCGCTTTCTCCAGCATTCTGTTTGGTCTTTTCACCAACCTCCCTGTCTGTCTTGGGTAAGATGCTCCTTATTCGATGTTGAAGCGTATTGTCCTGACACTTCCACAGTCCTGGCATGGGCTTGAATGCCTACTTCACTTACCAAGTCGTTGGCGCAAAGGGGACCGGCTCGATTCCCTATAAGACTGCTCTCACCGCTGTCTTCATTGAAGGATGGATTTTCATGTTTCTAGCCCTCACTGGTATGCGACACTGGCTGGTCAAGATTATTCCCGGTACCATCAAAACGGCCAGTGGTGTTGGCATCGGTCTGTTTCTCACACTCATCGGTATGTCATATTCCTCTGGAATTGGCATCATCACGGGAGCTATCAGTACACCCTTGGCTATTGGCGGTTGTCCAGCTAGTTCCTTGGATCAATATGGCGAGTGTACTGGAGAGGTCATGACCAACCCAAAGGTAAATCCCCAAACCAAATCCCGAGTTACTTGCACGCTAACTTAGTACTTCACAGATGTGGATTGGTATTTGTCTCGGTGGTCTGTTCGTGGTGTTCCTGATGGCTTTCAAGGTTCGAGCTTCAATCGTCATTGGCATTGCTTTGGTTTCAATCCTGTCTTGGCCGTAAGAAACCCTAGGAATTCTTTGTCATTATCTACTCGGATGCTAACCTTCTCCAGACGCAACACAGCCGTCACGTACTTCCCCGATACGGACGATGGCAACCGTCGCTTCACATACTTCCGCCAAATTGTCGCTTTCCACCCCATCAAACACACCCTCGGCCAGATCCAATGGGACTTGGGTGAAAAATTCGACACCAAAGTGCTTGTCGCTTTGATCACCCTCCTCTATGTGGATATCATCGACTGCACAGCAACACTCTATTCCATGGCTCGGTTTTGCAGACGGACAACAGGTAAAGATAAGGACTTTCCCCGCTCAACCACTGCATTCTGCATAGACTCGATTTGTATCTCGCTCGGGGCGCTCCTCGGATGCTCACCAGTTACGGCTTTCATTGAGAGCGGTGCTGGTATTGCTGAGGGTGGTCGGACTGGGCTGACGGCTGTCACTGCTGGATTTTGTTTCTTCCTGTGTATTTTCTTTGCCCCTATATTTGCTTCAATTCCGCCTTGGGCTACTGGATGTACTCTGATGCTGGTAAGCGAACTTCCTCTCTTCTAGGCTAACCAAGCTAACACGACTGACAGGTCGGCTGCCTAATGATCCGACAAGTGACCAAAATCAACTGGGCGTACATCGGTGACGCAGTCCCTTCATTCATCACCCTGGCCTTTATCCCCTTTACCTACAGTGTACTACGGCCTTTTTGCGTAAGCCCCTTCCCCCCCTCCTCGCTTTCCCGTCCACCCCCAGGTAACCCCCCCCCCCCCCCCCAGCGGCATCTTCTCCTACGCGGGCATAAACCTCTGCATCTGGGCCATCATCAAACTATCCCGGGGCACCATCATGCCCGAAAACTACGACATGAAAGAATACTGGACCTGGCGACCCCCCGGCGAGCGCCCCTGGCTTTTTCGCAAAATCGGCGAGGCCATCTTTTGGCTTAGGACCAAGCGCCGAGGTAGGAACTCGACTTTTCAGCTGGGGTCGAATGATGGGAGCGGTGGGAGCTCGAGGCATCGGGTGAGTCCGAATAACTCGACGGCGGCGGTGGAGGATAAGAGTACTGCTGCTGCTGCGACGGGGTTGTAAAGGGGGCTGGAGGAGGAGTTGGTTTATTACCCAAGGCCGTGAGATGGTGGATGGGGGATCAAATCTGTGGTAGATGGTAGAGGAATTAGATTCGATTCTGGTTCGGGAATCTGGTTGGATTGGCTGCTGTTTTGCTTGCATTTTGTCTTTCACGTTTGAGGATACTGGGTCGAAGGTACAGGCAGCGAGTCGGACTTAGATTTCCGGTGTTTATATATGTCTGTGTCCTGTTTTTTTCTTTTCTCGTCATTTTATTTTTTTCTTGTATCTATGTTTTTGAAAACGGTCTGTTGGATAAAAGGCACCGAGATAGTTCATCATCTTTAGGGGCTTTCAGGGGCTGCATCGTTGCTCTGGTGACATTATTTGGGAAAAGATGCAAACCTATCAGCCGGCACGCAGCTGTCGTCGCCAAGAAAGCTGGACAGCCCAGGCTCCCAAGCTTGCATCATCCATCATCTTATCTTATCGGACCTGCAACGTTCCAGCTGTTGATGAACCGCATCATTGCAAGAAAATCCCAAGTGCCGAAAAACATTCTTGAGGCCTGTAGCTCGGTTTACATACAGCTCCCTGAGCCACGCAATCGACCCGTCGGGCTCAACGGCTTTCCCTGTTCGATCAGATACTAATTTTTGGGTCACCCGCCCAACGAAACAATATCCCACCCTCGAGACAGACATCTCCTCGACCGAGTAACCTGTCAACCCCAACCAGCAAAATGAGTGGAAGCTGGAATACCAGTATGTCTCCCTCCCCCTCCCCATCCCCGACCAAACACCCCATACTAACCCTCCCCAGTCGAATCCGACGCCGGCGTCTTCACCTACCTCCTAACCAACCTCGGCGTCCGCAACGTCCAATTCGAAGAACTCCTCACCCTCGACCCCTCCTCCCTGGCCGAGCTCCACCCCGTCTACGGCGTCATCTTCCTCTTCAAATACCCAACCGACGCCCCTTACCGCGCCACCGGCGACAAGCCCCTCGACGGAACATTCGACCACTCCATCGCCGAAAACAAGCTCTTCTTCGCCGCCCAGACAATCCCCAACGCCTGCGGGACCCAAGCCCTCCTCTCCGTCCTCCTCAACAAAACCTCCGGCTCCGACGACGAAGAAACAAAAATCGACATCGGCCCCGTCCTCAAAGACTTCCGCGACTTCACCATCGACCTCCCCCCCGAGTTCCGCGGCGAGGCGCTTTCCAATTCAGATGTCATAAGAGACACGCACAACTCTTTTGCCAAATCGTCTCCCTTTGTGGATGAGACAACCCGCAACCCAAACGACGAGACGGAAGATGCGTTTCATTTTATCGCTTACACGCCCTTTAACGGGACCCTTTACGAACTGGACGGCCTCCAGCCTGCTCCCATCTCCCATGGGCCTTGCACGCAGGAGAGCTTCCCTGAAAAGGTCATGGAGGTGATTCAGCGCCGGATTGCGAGATATGGCGACGCAGAGATTAGGTTTAACCTCTTGGCCATGACGAGAGACTTGAGGATCAGGGCGAGGGAGTTGGGCGATGTGGAGTTGTTGGAGCGGGAGGAGCAAAAGAGGAGGGATTGGCAGTTTGAGAACGCGTTGAGGAAGCACAACTTTGTTGGGTTTGCCGGGGAGGTGCTGAAGGGGGTAGTGGAGTATAGGCTGAAGGAGGGAGGGGAGGATGGGTACAAGAGTTGGGTTGGGCAAGGGAAGCAGAAGATGGTCAAGAGGATAGAGGAGAGACGGAAGGGGAGAGGTGGGGGTGGGGAGGATGTTGAGATGGAGGGATAGAGCGTACCTGGGAGCGGAATCTGTTCTAGTGAGCGGTATGAGCTGCATGTGTCCATGTAGGCATAAGCATGCGAATGTGGACGGCATTGAGTGTGTTATGTTGGAGAATCATTTATGATATCATCGTAGCAAGCACCGGTGTCACAAGACCATAATCATCAATATGCAACAAGACCCAGATATGTTCGACAAGCTCAATGGTTAGGAATCACCCTATGGTATCACTACAGCCCCAAACTGCCCTCCACAGCACCACGGCATGCATAGTCGCTTCACACGGATGAGAGACGCAAGATGACTGAGACGCTGGGTATCTTCAGCTATCAAACGGGCAAGGCAGCCTCGGCCGAGAGTCGAGTCAAGCAAATAAAATTCGGTTTGCGCCTTTTATAACCCCGTTTCCCGCGTTCATGGTTTCTCAATTGTTTTTATTGAGTATTCGTGACCGACTCCTTTTTCCTCTGGAATCGTAGCCCTGACCCGAAAGAATGCCATGCTCGCAGTACACCGTTTCCGGAAAAATCAAGCCCCAGTCAAAAGATACCCCGACGTCCCGAACATCACCACACGACCAACCGTTTAGGCGGCGGTGAGGGCCTGGCGGACGCGAACGCCACGCTGTCTGCTGTTGAGGTGCTCCTCACGGACAACGGCCTCGGACTTGGCGACGGTCTCCTCAGCCTCGGTGAGGATAAGCTCGATGTGGCAGGGGTTGGACATGTAGGGGTTGATCTGCCATATGTTAGCCTGTGTGTCCCTCCCCTCTCACTCCCCGCTGGAGATGTTCTCGGATTCGAAGATACGTACGCGACCGTGGGCGCGGTATGTGCGGCGGCGCTGCTTGGGGGCCTGGTTGACCTGGATGTGCTTGACAACGAGGTTGCCAGTGTCAAGACCCTTGGAGTCGGCGTTGGACTCGGCGTTCTTAAGGAGACCGAGGAGGAACTCGGCGGACTTGGCGGGCCAGCGGGCACGGGTGACACCGAACTGCTTGCCTACATTTCCATCACAGTCAGCCCAACATTCTCATAGCCATATCCATCCTTCACCAGTCTTGTAGTCGTGGAGCTTGTAATCGTTCCGGTATCCAATCCCATCCCAATCCCAAATCTCCATGTCCAAAGCTTCCGATGTGTTTACGTCGGGAAATCGATGATTATTCGTACCTTGAGCAGTACGGCCGATGGAGCCGCAGTAGCGTCTCATAGGGACGGCCTCCTTCTTGTCAATGACATTCTGGAGGAAGGTCTGGGCGCGCTGGAGCTTCCAGCCGTTGATGGCCTGGGCAGTCTCGCGGGTGTTCTTGAAAGAAACACGGAGGTAAGAGCCGCGGGAGCGGGCGGACTTCACCGGGGAAATCTCAGTCGCAGCGTACCGAACCTAATGTCGTGATAAAACCATGGTCAGCATGGTTCCTGGCGATTGCTTCAACATTTCCCTCCCCCTCGTCGGTTTCCGCAATAGCTCCATCCTCCATCCCGGACGGAATCCCGCAAAGGTCCAGCAGCAAAATTTCGACGGGGGCTTCGAACGGCGCTCGAAAATGACTTCGGGAATTGATTTCGCAAGGGCTACTCACCATCTTGACTGCTTGTCGATTAGAGGCGAGATCGGCCGAATTTGGTGATGTTCAAGGAATGACGGTTACCAAATTTTGGAGCCAAATTCAATTTCGCGATTAGGGCTCGGTGGGTGGTGTTCGATTGGCTTGTGCGGGAGCGGTGTTGGCCTGAGGCAGAAGAAAATCTTGGCGGCGGGCAAGTGCAGAAAACTTTCCCAATTGCAGCCCCACCAAGCCGATAAGACGATAACAATACTGCACGGACCTTTACCAGATTCACAGCAAGATGCCCAGCCACTCAGAATGTCGGAAGAATCCACCACCGAGGCGACAAAAAGTTGATCGGTGCTCCACTCATTTTTTCTGGGGTGTTAGGAAATTTTGCATCCAGCTCCAACAAGCTCTTTGAGCATCTCGACAGAGCCGCGCAAATCAACCCATTGTGTCCTCAACAACTCTTTGCGCAACACATCTGATTCGGCGTCGACAGACATACCCACGACGATCTTATATCCGATTTACAGACACAACCAACCGTCATAATGGGCTTTGAGCGCGGTGGAAGAGGCGGTGGTCGCGGGGGAGGCAACTTCCGTGGTGGTGACCGTGGTGGACGCGGTGGTGGCCGCGGTGGTGGTAAGTCCTAGATTCTCTTTTCTGGTATCAATTGACGGCATTGGATTGCGATGGCTTTGCTTTCGGACGATGCGAGTGCTCAGATTCTGCGCGCCGAGGATTGCGAATGAAGTTTTCGATCTTCGCTTCCCTCCAAAGTTTGCGATCTCCTGCGCCTCTCCTCCGGCCTGCTACTTTGCTGTCTTCTCTCGCCTCAACATTTCCGATGACATTTGCTGACTGAATACATAGCCGGTTTCGGCGGTCGTGGTGGTGCCCGTGGTGGTGCCCGCGGTGGTCCTCGCGGCGGTGGCCGTGGCGGTCCTGCCCGTGGTGGTCGTGGGTACGTTGAATGTCGATCTACGAGCCACTATGGCAGATGCTAACCAATTCAACAGTGGCCGCGGTGGTGGTCGCGGTGGTGGTGCCGGTGGTGCTGCTGGCGGCAAGAAGGTCATCGTCGAGCCCCATCGTCACAAGGGCGTCTTCGTTGCCCGCGGTGGAAAGGAGGATTTGCTCGCCACTGCCAACCTTGTACCTGGCGAGTCTGTCTACGGCGAGAAGAGAATCTCTGTTGAGACTGGCAAGAACGACGAGGGCAACGCCACCAAGACCGAGTACCGCGTAAGTTTTTCAGTCGCAGAGTGCTAGTCTTGGCTATCAGCGTTTTCCATGAACATGCGCTAACAACATGGACTTCAGATCTGGAATCCTTTCCGTTCCAAGTTGGCTGCCGGTATCCTCGGTGGTCTCGAGACCATCTACATGAAGCCCGGTTCCAAGGTCCTCTACCTCGGTGCTGCGTCCGGTACCTCCGTTTCCCACGTTGCCGATATCGTCGGCCCTACCGGTTCCGTCTACGCAGTTGAGTTCTCTCACCGCTCTGGCAGAGATCTTATCAACATGGCTGTACGTTGAAGCCCGTCATTCGATTGCAAAATCGTGAAATACTGACTCTTCACTAGACCCGCCGCACAAACGTCATTCCCATCGTTGAGGACGCCCGGAAGCCCATGGCCTACCGCATGCTTTTGCCGATGGTCGATGTCATCTTCGCCGATGTTGCCCAGCCCGATCAGGCCAGAATTGTCGGTATCAACGCCAAGTTGTTCCTGAAGCAGGGTGGTGGTCTTCTCATCTCCATCAAGGCGTCCTGCATTGACAGCACAGCGCCCCCTGAGCAAGTGTTTGCCAGCGAAGTCCAGAAGCTCCGTGAGGACAAGTTTGTTCCCAAGGAGCAACTTACTCTTGGTAAGTCCCACGACAGATGATTTGTCTTGAAATACAATGATCCAAATGCTAACTATCATACTCAGAACCCTATGAGCGTGATCACGCCATGGTATCGTGCGTCTACCTCCAAAAGGAGTACCAGGAATAAGCGTAAAAAGTTGGATCGTGGGATCATTTACTGCTCTGTTCAGGGCGTTCTGACATTGCTCGGTGTTCACCTGGATGGTTGGCTTTCGTGTGTCTGGGGCGGCGCATGGCGTTTATAGGTATTTTGGTTTTTTGACAGCATGTTTGCGTAAAATAAACGACGGAGTGGGGGGAAAGCGACATCAAGCGTCAGTCCACACTCGCTGGTAATACCCAATGTCTCATATATCGACACGGTCACTCTATCCAGTTCTGGCGATGTGTTTGGGGATGGGCTACAAGCGTCAGTAACTGCGAGGTGCAGATATGCATCTGTTTTGTGTTGGCCGCGGGAAGAGGCTGTGGATGGGGGGTATGCGAGATGTACAGTCGGGGGTCTGATCTGATGACATCGCAGAGCATGAAGGAGATAGAGAGATACCTGATGTGAATTTACAGCATAGATTGATGGTTTAGTCCTTGACCTGTTGGTGTACATATGTATGTCTGCATGCATGGTAGTTCTCTAGGGAATTCATCTCATGTGTCTTGATCTCAACTTTACACTAGGTCTTTTTTTTATCATCCCATAACGCAAGCCGCGTAGGTAGTCAATCCCGCGATGAGTATGTTCATGTGTAGTTAGAGTGTGCATAGATACTTTTGATTCTCGTGATACCGTTCTTGAAACGTCAAATCTCCTATATTGTCCTTGGCACATCACCAAGATGACGACGCAGCTACCGCCGGCCAAAGAGGACCACCCAGCAAGATCCAGTACTTCACAGTCTCCTCCTTGTGGGGTCTCTAAACTTGAAAGGCGTAGTTGAAATGTCTCGAGCTAGTCTCTGCGAGTATATATCTTTTGTCGTGTCATATAACCCAGGTTCCGGTTGGTGGTTGGAAAGAACATCAGAGTGGAAATAGCCTACTGTAACATTTGGCATCAACGTCAATTCCCAATGTTTACATACCTATTCTGTTTGAACTGAGTACATTTTTGATGAATATATCAAAGTCTACCTTGAACGGTACATTTCCTCGAATAAATCTTTTTCACCGCGGCAGTTGACTGTAGAACAGCCCGCCTATCCGGAAAATATGCACTTCTCCCTTACAGAAACCAAACCCTAAAGACATCAAGATAAAGTTTTCTCCTGCTCACATTAGAGCCTCGAACTGCACTTTTCCCTTGTAGTTCGTTTATGAGCCTCATCTTGCATTTGTGGCATGTTGTTGAGCCCCCGACCTGCACTTCTCATGTTGCCCGTTTGGAAAGTCATGCTCAAATACGGAGTGTACCCGACCAAAAGGGGTAATTGTAAAATAGACAGTCTGCCAATTCTTGAAATACACTCAATGAGATTGTATAACGTGAACATGAAGGAATATGACACCAGAATCCAACCTCAGTAGAAAAGTACGTGATACCGATCGAAGAGGAGTATACTAGGTGTATTGTTTGTCTGACCACACCGCAGGTTTACTTTCCATAGCCAACCCGGAGCCGGAGCCAAAACTGCTGTCAAGACTTAGAGATCTCACTTGCATATTTTGGCCCACCTGCAAAAAGTCAAAGAAAGAAAGTGAGGCGGCCCCAGCCGAGTGATCCGACAGCTTGGGACGGGAAGCATGGGAAAACAGGGATACAAGTACATGATAACTCATATCCCCGTTTTTGTACTGACCTTCGGTGGGCTTGTGAGTGGATGTCCTGAATTGGCGATCTGGGCGTCATTCAGGGGTAAATTATATCGTGGCTGAAAAAAGAAAGATGCTGGATACGGGTTGTGGGCGTGTTGCCCGGCTGAGCTGGCGAGGGGTTGACTTGGAGGTGGTTGATGATCCCACACGACTGAGAATACTGTCCAAGTGATGAGGATTATCCAAGGCTCTAAGGCTCTGGTTACATGACTATGGCAGAGAGTCTGGTCTGTTAGTCCCGTGCATTTGGGGGCTTGAAGCTTGTATGCCTGGCTATGATCTTCACCTGCGAGGCTCGGTAACGTTCGCGCCGATGTCGAGGTTATACAGGGCCTATTAACTGGCCTGGTACGTCAGCAGGCTGTGATACTCAAGCTCGGATGAGCTTTGATAGCTCTCGCGGGGCAAAGCAATCCGACACCACCCACACCACATTCGTCCCGTGGACTGTGAGACAACCACCACCACCACTGCCATCGTCATGCACCTACCACTCCTCAATTTATCTCGTACGGGGCAAGCGGGCTCCGCTTTCCTACTTGCGGGCAAAAATCCTTTAGGATTCGAACCAACGTCGGACCGCAGCCTTACTCCCCCACCGCTCGACCAACTTGCGGTGTGTGAGGAGCAATATCACTGGCCTATATGATAGGAGAGTGAGATCTCGCTATTGAGTCATACCTGTCTCGAGATAGTAAAGCAGAAATGGTGTGGGAAAAGGTTAGTCGCATACCACTCTTGAAAGATGGTGTGCCAAAAGTGTGGGATGAAATAGGCAAGGCTATGAGATTTGAAAATTATTGGTCTTTGTTGTTGGGTGTGTGATTCCCTCCCGCTCGACTCCTAGGTACCCATGGATTACCGTGCCTTGGATTCGACAAGTAAGGCTGTAAGCCAAGACCGTGTGGGATGTCGTTGCCCCGAAGGACTTCATTTTCTGACCAGCTTCTTTCGGGGCAGCTTCCGATAGCATTTAGGTGCCACTCAGTCGAATGATTGACAAATCTCGGGGGGTCAGAGTTGCTTGATAGGGCTGCCGTGCCGAGCTTCGAGCTACATCCCACCTCGAGATCTGAAGCAGTGGTCTGTCCCGGCAGAGCGATGAGTGGCATCGAATGCTATCTGCATACATTAGTGTCGTTCTCTGCAGGTCTGACCTTGCTGCCTTGTTGACCACCTACGGCAGCGAAGTTTGGTTACATTGCAGGAAGGGTAACTGTGCGCGTGCCCCAGATATCGTTTCTGTACAACGGCCTGCCGGTCTACGACATAGGTTGTGCAACACAGCTGTCGAAGATGAAGGCCCCGACAACAGAAAGCAGAATCATCATACATTCATATCGTTTGCGAATAAACCGAGGGGTATAGAACAAATCCAAGCCAATACACCAAAAACATGTACCAAGTAATCCCTTTGGTCAAAAGTCACAAACGTAGCCCCCCCAACCATCCAACCAAGCCGTGATCACACTACAAAATCATTGCAGTTTCAACATGTTGACCAACAACATGCGTTGTGGTGTGATTATACCCAATATCAACGTGAAAAAACCCGACAAGGACTCATTAGGACAGACTCATCCATCACTCTCACTTCCACTCGATCTCCTTGAGCTGTGTTGACCCCCCTCGTCCGCCTGCTGACTCTTGTGAATGTCAGAGTTGATTCGTGAAAAGTCCTGCTCTCCAAGATATATCTCATCCACCGGTGTTCGAGGTCCTTCAAATTCCAGCGGCGACTTCTTGGCTGCCTCGTCTCTTGGCCAGTAAAACAGCACCTCCTCCTGCCATCTCCGCAAGTTGACAACCTTGCAGCTCGTCTCAAATACAGTAAGCATGAGCTCTATTTCCATAGGACATGTGCGGAGGCGGTGAAGTAGCCATCGATTGATCAGGTCAGGGATATTCTTGGCGTTCTGAAGCAGCTTGGTGATTCCTAACTCCTTCATGCACTCAGCCCTCCGCTGAGCACTCTCCGGGGAGTCTGCTGGAAGTGCCATCGCCTTGTTCAGAGCCGCTTGTTCCGATAATTCGTCCAGGACATGCGATGGATTCGACATGAGAATAGGAAACCGATCATGGGCAAGCTTGCTGTGACCGGTTCGCGGGACGAATTCAATGGGCATATTCCCGTCATCCGGGGGAAGCGGTGGCTGGTCGGTCCCCAGGTAGATTGTTAGTAACTCGTTATAAGAGGCATTTTGACGCATCGCCTTATTGCTGATGCACCATTCTCGCAGCCGGTGAACTTCCTGTTCTGCCCTGTCAAACCTCCTTTGCGCTCGTTGCAGTTGGCGGTCGTAGTCCTCGAGAAAGTTGAGATCCTCTTCATTAGCGGGGAGTCCAAATCGAGCCTGAAATTCTCCAGGATTTGTCGGGATGCTTTCGAGCGATGTCTTCATTTCCGCTAGCTCCTCCTCGCTGATCGAGTTGCCCGGGTTCTCTTGCATCCTCTTCCGGTGAAGTTTGATCTCAAGTTCGTAGATGATATCCTCGCGGCGGTACCTGATTTCCTCACAATGTTCTCGGGCAAGTTCGCGATCTCCAACTTTGTCCAAAAGATCTTGATACCGAGGGTGTATATCGTCGTAGCGTTCTCCCGAAATGCCCAACAAGATCTCTGGCACCCCCTCTTTCGCTTCAATAACGGACTGTTGCATGACTGAATCCATCCCCGGCAGGCCTACAGCATTAGGCCTGGCTGAGAATGGAGCTGGTCGTGCAGCCCTGACCAAATCACTCTCCAAGCTCTGCAACTGAGACTCATCTTCTTCGAAATCACTCCTCATTGCTTTGAATGTCGAGAGGAGTTCCATCTGGGTTTTTTGTAGTTGACGAAACTTTTGAACACCCCCTTGGTCCGGCTTCAAAAGCTTCATGGCCTCATTTTCCAAGGTCGTCAACCTGCGTATGGCGTCAAGCATTTCGTCAAGCTTGGTAGAAATCTGCGATCTTAGCTGGCGGAGGTCGCGTTGCTTGCCCTCGACCGCAGCCCCCAGATCCCGGCGCAGCCGATCATGATATCGACTTGTGGATGCCTCGTCCGAATCGCTAAATTCCGACTCCGAACCGTCGATGTCAAGAGGATGTGGTCGGATTGGAGCATGAACAGCCGGTGCTATGGCAGGCGCAGCCTGTGCTGCCCAAATTTGGCCAACGGGCAGCAGGTTGGTTGGTGGAACTGGATGGACAATCTCGGGCTTTAAAGCTCGTGGAGGGGGTGGTGGAGGAGGGGGTGGAGGAGGGGGTGGGGACAAATCGTCATCACCACTGCTTGCTGTACTATCTCCAGTCCAAGAGGCCGAATCATCGTCAGGAGGTGTGTGAACAGAAGCATTGCGTAGGTTAGGCGGTGACCCATTCGTCGTGGGCAAGGCATTGAGGGCAGCTGGCCTCTCAACAGACCGTTTGAATGCCGGCGACACAGCATGGTTGAAGCGAGGCGTAGCTGGCGACGAGAGTGGTGTAGGTTTGCGGGTCAAAGGTAGTGTGGTGGTTTGAGCGTTTAAGGAGCCAGTTCTCAGTGGAAAATTGTTTTGCGTGTTGGGGTTGGTTGGTGGTAATGTGGTCGAAGTCATGGCGATGAAGACAGCACGTCGGTCTCGAACAGCATCTCCAATGGCTTGGGGCCATCGGATGATGCTACGCGAAGGCGGACAGACAGATGGTGCGATAGATTTAGCCCGATTCTCCAGGAAAGAGCAGAGGGCTTGTTTGAATGATGCCGTATACACAAGGAACAGACAGAAGACGAAGTGCCATCAAAGGTAAGCCAAGGCAGGAGATGAGTGGGGAAATGCCCAAAGGGATTCCGTGGGTGAGATGGAACGCGTTTGCTGATAGAATTAGGTATTGTTGCGGCGGCTGGTAAAACAGGGCTTCTTCGTTTGTGCGAGAACCTACTGCCCAGTGCCCCAATCTGTGCCGGGCAGTCATGCCTTCCAAGTTCCGCAGCTTCCTAACATGCCAGCCCCCCAGTGTCCAAGTGAATGCCTGCTCTACTATTGGGCATGCAATGGAGGCAGCCTTCGTGGTTGGTTCAAGCGGAATGAAACATCTTCCTTCCAACTGTATCGGTCAACCTTGGAAGGCACGAAGGGTATGCAGTTTGGTTGGGTTCGAAAAGGCGGTTAGAAATAAGGAAAGGGCCTTCAACCCATCTTCTCAGTTGTTCCCAGCCTTGTGGGTCCAACTCATCTCGAATGGGGAAGCTTGGAATCAACGGGACGGTCCTGGCCGCACTTCATGGGGGTTTCTGACAGCCTAACGATGTTGAGGAGGAACACCCTGGCGAGTCTATTTAACATGAAGACCTGCCCTTGGATAACCCGTCTGATCTAATATTCTGAGACGTGCGACATGTCACGGCAGAGTTCTTATATTCTCTTGAAGAGAGGTTTTGGAAATTCCATTTCCTGTACCCCGGATCACGCATACATACATTTTCCACAGCGGGGCATCTCGACCCTGCGGTGGAGCACTGGCGCTAGCACTCTCGACCCCTCCTTCACCAAATCCGCCGGCATGACTGCGTATGCAGAGAATCCCAAACTGGGAAATGGAAATTCAGCTGTGGAAGGAGCAGATGGAAAATGAAAAGAGGCAACTTATGAGAGCATCGCGCCAAAAGCGCGGTATAGAAAAAACCCACTTGCCGTCTCCCAGCTCATGTGTAGCTGCCTAATGTATTCATCCTTTTTGTTTTCAACTCCCTCGTTCTCATCAGGAGAATATCGTGATCATTGGGCAACATCTCCAACAGGTCTTCGCGACTGGTCCAAGAACCACATCAAGCTCCGCTCAAGGTGGCTCGGGATTCGTCGACATTGGTCATTCACGGCCTGATAAGAACACCCACACGCAGCCACCTCGCGTCGAGACACTGCAGCAGCCCGCCGTCTTGACTCCTCAGCTTTGAGCTCGTTGTTTCCCCAGTCTTGCGGCTGTTCTCGACTCCAGCCTTTGGGCTCCGTCGTCGTGTCGACCACTGGTCACCGCCTCTCCTCTTGCTGCAACTTTCTTTGGCCTCTTCTGTTCCTCCAACGACCCACACTTATCCTTCCCTCTTTCAAGAGGTCATTCATCCGGCGACAATAGGGTCGGCCTACGCCGCGAATGGGATCCCGGGCCGTGTGTCACGAGCTCTCACCTCCGCCAATTACAATTGCATTTAATCTACGAAGAGGCCCAGAGCACCACTCGACAACTAGACATTCCACTCCCCCACTCCTAGGCCTCTAGCTACACTTGCGGCTCTGCATTGTGGCAAAGAGAATCTCAGTATAAAGGCAGGACATCATCTTGGAATAGCAACTCCGCTGCGTGGTAGAGGAGGTTCTGGATCTCTTGCCGTTGGCCGTTTGGTATATCGTTTTTTGCTCTGGTTTTCATCTTACCCACGAATACGCTCCCTCATAACACCATCCCGTCTATCGGGATTGTTGAGTTCACCAATATTTTGTTACGTTTTCCAAAAATGCATGCACCATGAGTTCCAGTCGACGAAACCAAGGGGCATGGTCCAAGTGGGAACATGATGAGCAGAACAACCGATATTTTAGGGCCAGACGGAACCACAGAGGTACCGATATCTTCCCCAAATATTCTTTTCGGACGATGCGAACGTCATATTGACATGGTGCAGGTGATTGGGAATATGACTACAGCTACCCGCCAGGCAGTGAGCAGCAAGCTCCTCGCGGTGATGGTGTTGATAATCTCGCGAGCTCGATGTCCAATGTGACCATCTCAGATACATCGTACAATCTTGATACGCCGGGTGTCCAAGATGGTTCGGCATATGATGACTCTTATACGTTTAGTGCCCCGACTGGTTCCACGAGCTTCGGGCTGTCGGGTATTCCACCGAGCCCTGGGCAGAACATAGTTTATAGTGACCAAACTCAGGGATATGGAGCGCCACCTGCACAAGGTTACGATGGGTACTCGACCAGGCCAAATGGGAAATCTTACGACCAGTCTTCTGGATACAGACCATCCAAAGGGAAAAGCTCCTCGTCAAGGAGACCTCGGAACAGGGGAAAACCTCAACCTGATGATCTGCCGCCAGCCCAACCCCAGTCATTTGGGCCCGGTGAGCCGTTCTACGAACCAACGAAGCCTACTTCATCCTACGATGAAGCCTCATCTGTTGCATCCGAGTATGGAACTGATCTTGCAGATGGTACGGATGCAAGTGTTGCAAGTGAATTCGACGATCAAGGTACCTCAAGTTCTTCCAAATGATTTATCGGGACAATTGCTGATTCTGAACAGGAACCCAAGTTGCGCCCAATCCCGCGGAGTCCAGCTATTACTCAGGCAGCACTGTCACTCTTGATCCAAGGGCAGCCGTGTTTTCAGAGCCTGGCCCTATAGAAGGTGAAGTTGAAGAGGACACTGCGACTGTGATTCAACCGCCAGGTATGAAAACATTGACCGATAGTCCAAAAAGCTTTCGATATAATGCTGCTGTTGCTAACGAGAAATAGAGGAGTACTCTACTATTCCCGAGGCCTATGAGGAAGATGATGGGTACGGAACTGGCATGGTGCCTGGACCATCTTCAATGGTTACTGGATATGACCAGTCCGCATATCAATTTCAAGACGATCCTGGGCAGCAGACACCAAGAGCTCTGTCTCCGATGGTGCAGACCCCTTACTCGTATGGGAATACCATCAACCAACGAGTCAGCGATAGAGGCTATGGTACTTCACATTCATCGCAACAAAATGACATTTGGAGCAGTAATGTACCACCTCCCTGGAATTCCCGATCTGTTGTTAACTGTTGACAGGCTTCGTTGTCGAACACTCGTCAAGATTCCAACCGGGAGAAGTAGGTGACTCTTAATAGAGATTGAATTTTCTTGGCTAACATGACTGGATGTTAAGGTCTTTAAAATCTACTGGTCTGAACCTCTCGGGAGCGGTATGAACGCGACCCTGCGATCCTACATGCAACGAGGCCAGAAGTTTCATGAAAGCTTTCGTCGGTTCATTGTTGTCGCTACCGACGAAGGTCATTCTACTTGCGTGTAAATGATACCCCGAGCTCCGTCCTGAAGTCCTATGAACTGACCGGAGCAACAGGCCTATTCTGACATATGGTCATCAAGCCTGCACCAAAAAGGGCGTGAAGCCCCGCAAGCATGGGATCGTCTATGCCTCTGGTACAAGACCACGCATGATGCCGGGCGAGCCAGACTTGGGTTTCGAACCAGTGCGGCTCGAGCTCACAGAACGAACCGAGAAGCTCGACAAGGAGTCGCGCGTGAATTACGCGAAGCTTGTCACGATCGAGCACAACTACAGAGTGTTCTTCATTGGCCGTATTGCTACCTCCGACTTCCACAACATCGTCACACCCGCTGTTGACTACTGTTGGCAAAACAAGAACCGTTAGCACGGTCGAATCCGGTTTTCTTTTTCCTATTTCTTGGATACTTTAACTAAGCTTTTATTTTTTATTTTTATTTTTTTGCAGCGGGCAGGGCTACTGATAAAGCGTATCTTGCGTGCCCGGGGTTTTCCTGTAGTTTTTTTCTTTTTTTTCTTCATTTACATTATTTGATACTTTATGACGGTCATCGTCAAGAACTTGGGCAGACATACCTCTAACGTTTTTTTACGATCGCTGCTAGTAGTCAACCAGCCAGCAGCTCCTTATTTTCTCCGTCACCAGTCTCGAGACCAATTTATCTACGTTTTTCACAACTCTTCTCAGTATCCGAATATACGTTTCTTTATTTTCTGGCTGACGCCATCGATGTTCAGCCAGCTGCGGCTATTTCACGATTTATGACCATTTCTTCTTCAAATAACAACTGCAACTTTGGCAACAGCAATGGCAGGATCTTTTTGGGGAGGGCAATGATGAGAATATGATGTTTATGATCTTCGTTTCATGTTGCTGATTTATAAGGTTTTTTTTTTTGGCTATGACTTCAAGGATTGGGTATCGTGTTGAACAGATTGGAAAATGTTGATCCAGTGGAAAAGGCGGATGGGATTGATGAGCAGGTTTTTGTCGTGGTTATTCTTTCGAAACGGGCAAAACCAAGACAAGAGATCTTGTGCTGCTAGGCAGTGTGTTGTTTAGGACAGGGTTATCACGATTACTTGCTAGCCTGAATGATGATGATTATGTTCCCTCCTCAAAGAGTTCTCTAGGCATCTCCGGGTAACTACGAAGTCCAGATCATGTTGAGTCGTTGTCAACGGAACTATGGGGAATCGCATTATTATATACCCATGATACACTAAAGCCACAACGAAACCATCACGGAGATAAGCTTCCCTAACCGGGGCGGAGGTCGGATGTCGTTGCCGTTTCGGCTCCGATCCCGATCCCGATCGCATCCCAGGTTGACGCCACGCCGAACGGCAGCCGGTGACCACCCGGCTTCGATCAGATGACATCGACCACACTACATTATGCAAATGGATGACAGTTGAGCTAGTCGAAGCAACCCATGCCTCCTTGATCTGTCATATATGCCAAGATTTCAAAAGAGGAGACCTAGATTGTGCAATTCATCAAGCTGCTTGCACAACTGCCATACATACAATCCCGAAGAGCACAAAGGGCGGCGTTGACAAGAGACCCAATCTGATCAATCTAATAATGGCGCGCGGCAGGCACCAGCTAAATAAAAATCCCGCATTTGCATATGATAACCAACTGCGTGGGATTTGAGCCCTTTAGGCGGTACCAACCGAGCTTTGGTTTATTGTCGGGTTGGCTTCTTGGAATCAGGATACATCTTCAAAACTAAACCCCCACAAAGGCGTGATGTTTCCGCTCACATTTGTGGGGGGTTTTTGGGTCCCAAGCGGGCACCGAAACATTGCCCGAACGGCAGCCGCTGCTTGCCGCCGACTACGCCGGCAGTGAGGGGTGCCCCGGCTTTTGAGGGACAAGGTCTGGAACAACAAGAAACCTTTCGCCGCTGTGAGAGGAGGAGAATAGTTGAGGCTGAGCCACCTCACTCCCAATTATCCCCACTGGAAAGGGCTGTTTCTCCGGAGTTTGCATCAACCGTGGTGAATCATCTGTGTGTATTCAAAACGATGACCATGAGTTGCAAAAGCGTTAGTCACCCCACTAGTGTCATTAATCTAGCCCTTTCAGTTTTATCAGATCTCGGGTCGCAGGAGGCAGGCTGATCTAATCTCAACACAAATCATTATCAATCTGCTTGATCAAAAACATCACCCCAAAGATTGGGATTGGCTTTTTTTCGGTCATCACGGCGGCGGCGCGCAAAAGGGGCTCGCCTCGCGCGCTGTGTGCTGCGCACTGAAATCGTAATTTGTGGGGCCGATTGATAATCGTTGATTGATTAGATTATCCTTGCTTGCCGTCATTTGTGGTATCCACACAGTAAGTGGCAACACTGTGTGTTCTCCCATCTTTTTGCTGGTGAAGGTCTGGCCGAGTTCGGAGAAGGTAGGCACCGGCGGCGAGATGCATGCTTCATGTGGACGGAAGCTCTGCATCTTGAGAGTTGGTCTCCGCCGTGAGTCCACTCTTGACGCCGGGAAGTGTTGAAACAGTCGAGAGCTTTTTCTGGGGAAAGAGGGATTGGTGGCTTGGCTTTTTTGGAGGGAGGAGATCAGAAAGGGGGGTGGCGATGGAGACAAGTTGCTGCTGTTTCTCCTAGGACATCTCGGATGTCCACGGATGCTGGTTGAATCAGAGATATAAGCCCATGCAGGTACCGCTGGTTTTCAACATGGTTGTTGGGAAAACCGGAAGTTTTGTGCTACACGGCGCGGTCAGTGAGTGGGAGGGTGGAATGGTGATGAGACCATGTGAGATTAAGCTGGGCTCATTGCCGTGAGGGCTACCGATCCTCCCCCGGCAGCCCCGGGTGATTCTGACGGATTGGCACTGCTCGGAGACAGACAGGGCTGGCGCTCAGGGGAAAGTGTTGAATTGAGCACGTGCCGAGGGAATGGGAAAATGCCCATTGAGCCGGGAGCATGGGAAGCCTCACCGGGCGCATCAAGAAGGGCGAGGCTCTTGTGTTGCAGATGTGTTATTCAGGCTTGCAGTTCCGGCCGTATGAGTGTCTATCACAGGTATATAAGAGAGCAAACAACAGATATGTGTTCAGATGCCCTGGTGAATATCTCGATATCAGATGTTGGTTTGTCCGGAGAAACACGGCAAAAGGCCCACACATTGATTTTCTTCGGGACGGGGACAGGACAAAGTCACGCGCACTGTGTCCGGTCCCGCTTGCCCCCCAAAGGCTGGGGCTTGGAAGTCAAAGTAGCGTATCTTGGCTGTGAGCTGACCTCAATGACCTGGCCATCTGCTGCGCTCGCTGCACAATGACAATAGCAGGACGGTGATAAAGATCGCCAGCCTCCCAGTGGCCCAGCTGTGTCCTTCCTTTTTTCCCTCCTACAGACCTTTTTGTGCCATACCCATAGCGACCACCAAATTGTTATACGGCGAGGCAAGCCTTTGACTCAAGTCATACCATCCATACAGCATTACCGTAACTTGACCTCGGCCCACATCACCTTCGGAATTCCATCTCGATTTTCTGCAAATTTCGGTCATGCGCCTGGGCCTTTGACAGAGACGAATTCACCTTCCCCTATCCTCAGCACTTGCTCCGACCTATTCGCTCACCTCCCGTCTACCTATATTATCTACCCATCGCCACAACTCTCCGAGGCAGCTGAGGGCTTCAACCACATCCAAAATGACGGCGCAGACAGACCTTCTTCTTGCCCAGCGTGCGGCTGCGAGCATTCCTGAGGAGCCCCAGCCCGAATCGGCCACACCGTCACTTACATACTCGAGCTCTGACGAACAGGAGATTGAAGAGCCAACAAAACCGGTCCCACGTCGCCGGCGGGCGTCCACACGCCTGATCGCCAAGAGCCCGGAAGATGTGCAACGCATAACCGGTGAGACGACAACGCAATTGATCCGGCGATGCTGCGGCGGAGGCTGCTGTCTTGGTGGTGCCCCGAAAAAAGACAACAATGTGGAGTACGAGGCGATCGAGCTTCCCGACAATGACGCATACCGTTCTTTGAACCTCAAGATCGACAAGATTCCTACCACACTCAGCGGAGTGCGCGATGTTCCTGAGCAAACGGCTTTCCTGCAACCCGTTCGCCGGCCCTCCAATGTTCCATCGCCATCCGAGCCTGCTGTGCCGTTCGGCACGGAGAGTGACACCACTTGGTCAGTGGTCGGCATCGAAAAGACACTCCAGGACTTGACATTGGAGAGGCTCGACACACAAATACAACCTCCCAAATTTGTGCAACCACACCCGCCGCACCATGTGTTCCCCGCGCGCATTCACAACACTCGCGAGTTGACCAAGCCTGGTGCTGAGAAGCGCACCTTCCACTTCGACCTTGATGTCACCAACTATCCAGAGGGTGAGGATGTTGACTTCAAAGTCGGTGGCGCAATCGGCGTGTCTGCGCCCAACGAGGCTTCTATAGTGCAGGAGATCCTCGACTTGCTCCTGGTCCCTCGATTTCTGCGCGATAAGCCTGTGCTCCTCCGGACGACCAAGGGCCGTTGGCCAACCGTTTGGGGCGCCGACCAGGCTCGTGAGATTGTCACCACCCGCCGCGATCTTCTAACATGGTGCTCCGATGTCCAGTCATACCCACCAACGAAGCAAATTCTCCGTGTGCTTGCTGAGCACACCACTGACGCAACTGAGCGCAAGATCTTGCGGTACCTCTGCTCCGCCGAGGGTCAGGGCGTCTTCTGCGACTTCCGAACCGGTCCACACATCAGTCTGGTCCAACTACTGCACGCCTTCCCTAACGCCAAGCCACCGCTTGATCTTCTCCTATCCGTCCTGCAGCCACTTATGCCCCGCTTCTACTCGTTGTCGAACGACCCTCATGAGTCGTTCCTGACACGCGATGGGAAGCAGCATCGGTTGATTGAGATTGCCGTCACCGTTCATGAGGCGGAGGACTGGCGCAATGGCAGTCGGACGGGTATTGGCTCGGGTTTCTTTCAGAGACAGGCTTTGAAGTTCATCGAAGCTCAGGAGAAGGGGGAGAAAGACCCAGAGTTTTATATCCCCATGTTCAAGGGTTTGATGGCCAACCCGCTTGCCAAGCAGTTCGTCTCGGACGGACCGATGCTCCTTATTGGGGCTGGCGTCGGTATTGCTCCGTTCAGAGGCTTCGTCCAGCGGCGTCTCAAGACGGCCAACTGTGCGAACAAGGTCTGGGTGCTCCAAGGTGTCCGTGATTCGCTGGTGGACGAGCTGTACAGTGGCGAGTGGGGTGTCCATGAGGATGAAGTCAAGAAGGTTGTCCAGAGCCGCAGGGGCCCAGGAAGATATGTCCAGGAGGAGGTCAAGGCCCAGGCTGACCTTGTCTGGTACATCATCAACGCTGTCGACGGCAGAGTCTTTGTCTGCGGAAGCAGCAGGGGCATGGGCGAGGGTGTTGAGAAGGCGCTTGTCGAGGTTGCCATGGAGAAGGGCAACCTGGAGCATGACGAGGCTCAGCAGTTTTGGAACTTGAAAAAGGAGACGGGCCAGTACATTGCCGAGACTTGGTGAGGTGGTTCAGGATTTGTAGTCTTTTTGACAAAATTTTCTTTGGCTTCACGTTTCTTATCCTCCCTTTCGGTATCGTTTCATGCATTTGACGGGAGTTTTGTATCGCGTTCTTGCTTTTCTCATTGCTTTGGCTGGTGGGCGCATAAAGATGTTTGAGATTTTTATACCAGACTTTTTGGGGCTCGAAGCCATGGTAAAGATTTTCTTTGGGGGTTTGCTTTGGTCTGCTAGAGAAAAGATAAACACACAAGCGCACACACAACAACAATAACTATATAACATGGAGGGTATATGAAGGGTATGGGCGGGTGTTAGGAGGACGACGAGCACATGAAGGATAGGTCTGGCTCTTGATGTATATACATGTTTACTCTATCTTTATGGAATCGTTGTTTTGCTCGGCATTTGCAGTTGAGGGATCATCAGGGACTTGGTGGAGGTGTGTAACATTGCACAGCAGAGGGGGGAATGTGATGTTGAGGGGGTGAGAAGAACAGCTTTGAGTCTTGAAATGACGGACACTGAATGTATGGAGGACTGTATATGTTATAATCTAGCAGCAGAGGTTTCTTACCATGACATCGAAATCATTGATCGATGTATCTCTTGGCTATTTGAGGCTGGTTTCTCAAGGCCACGGTGTGACATTAGGTGTGCATGGTCTATTCACCCAAGAGACATCCCAGATGGCGCAACCGTCAGGCCTTGTGACACCATGCCCCTGATACTTTCTCATACGGGGGGCATTTGTATCTTTATAAATACTGAATCAGGCAGTTCAAGGATTCAACCCTCCCCTCCATCAACGGCACGTGGTGGGGTTGGCACCTCGGGGACTGCCGAGCAAGCAATGGATCAGATCCCACCCCCTGTCCGGCTACCCAATAGATAAAGAAGTGGGGGTGTGGTCTTAGCGGGATTTTGTCAGCATTTGAAATGCGCTTTCAAAGCCCAGCGGCGTGCTGTCGTTGGTGCCGAAGCCACGAACTGGTTTTCAGCCAACTTCCCCAATTCGGCTGTATGATTGCTTGTCATTGGTTAGGGAGCTGGGCGACATGCAACTCCAACGGTCGAACGAGTACTAAGCTTATGTATAATCAATGATGTATGTTGTAATTGTATTATATACAGGACAGATCGGAATACCGCGCGCGAGCAAGCGAGACGATATGAATAGTGGATACAGATTTGGTAGCTGAAATGGATGACAACTCGATGAGTGAGCCGCTTGCAAGCAGAAAACTCCATCCGTACGTACCAAGTGGAGTCTGGCGATGGTTTGGGATGCTCATGGAATCTTTCGAGGTCTCTCGGCAGAAATGCTCCAGGGTTCCTTCCATGATGGGGGTTGGGGGGAAGGTGTCGGTCTCGAATTCTGCCGGGTAGAACCCCGTCTTTTGCTGTCCGTAGGGAAAGAGGACAGACATAGGAAGGTAGATACATATAAGGGGTCCTTCCCACCTTTTTGACATCTATCTATAAGTTCATCTCATCACCAACCAACCCATCATCCCATCTTGTCTTCCGCTCCTATGCAGAGATTCGCCCACCCGCTTCGCACACTCCTCAAAAACACCACCTATAGAGTTGCTACTCCCCGTCCTATCACCACACCAATTACTACCCCCAAGATGTTTTCCTCCAGCAAAACCACCCCCGCCGTCCAGGGCGCTGACGGCTTCCTCTCCCACATCAAAGCCCGCCGCACAATCTACGCCCTCAACAAGACCCTCCCCATCTCTACCGACCGCGTCCAAGAAATCGTAAAGGAATCCCTCCTCCACGTCCCCTCTTCCTTCAACTCCCAATCCAACCGCGTCGTCGTCCTCCTCGGCGCCGAGCACGACAAGTTCTGGGACATCACCACCGCCATCCTCAAGTCCATCGTCCCCGAGGAGAACTTCGCCTCGACGGCCGCCCGCATGGCCGGGTTCAAGGCCGGCGCAGGCACTGTTTTGTTCTTTGAGGACCAGGACGTCGTCAAGGGCATGCAGGAAAAGTTTGCCCTTTATGCTGATCGGTATGTCCCCTTTTCCCATCCAACCCCCCCATATGAAATTTTTGCTAACGTATAAAAACAGTTTCGACCCCTGGGCCGGCCACTCAAGCGCCATGCTCCAGTTCGCAGTCTGGACCGCCCTCGAAGCCGAAGGCCTGGGCGCCAACCTCCAGCACTACAACCCCCTCGTCGACCAGAAGGTCCAGCAGGAGTGGTCCGTCCCGTCGACGTGGAAGCTCTCCGCTCAGCTCGTCTTTGGCGGCAAGGCCGGCGAGCCAGGCGAGAAGACCTTTGGGCCTTTGGAGCAAAAGTACAGGGTTTTTGGTTCTGCTTAGAGAGCTGGGAGCAGGTCCAGCAACAACGTGAAATGGACTGCAAAGCACAATATAAGCAGGCATTGAGAGCAAGGCGTGGAAGACATCGTGAGTGGGCGTTGAAACAGTTTTTTTTTTTTTTTCAAAAGTTTAAGAGAATATGAAATAACCCCTTTTATTCAATGATGGCGGATACAGACGACTGGAATGAAACCTAGAGAGAAGATGTACATATACCTATAGAGCATCATAGATGATGGATTTTCAAGATCTTAACAACACTTTTAAAACTTCTATCCACTTTTCCAACCACACCCAACATGCTAGAATAGGAACTGACCCCCAAAACTATGAATAAACGAACAAGTTGATTGCCGCATTAAAACACAAATATCTACCCACGATTAAAGTTGAAAAACATTTTCGAATCCCTCTTTGGTATATACAACCCCCCTCTTTCCCCCGACGTTTTGGATACCAACTTTTACATATCAACCTGCCCCAAAGACTGCCCAACCTTGACTCTCTGCCCCTTTTCAACATTCCACGACCACCCCCTGGTGTGCTTGCCAGTCTCGGGATCGTGCTCCGAAGCAGGTGCCTCAAAGACGAGAACAATCGTGCTGCCGAGTTGGAAACCGCCCATCTCCTCACCCCTGCGCAGCGCGTGGCCCCTCAGGACTTGGCTGGCAGCCTCGTACGTGGCCTCGGCGTAACCAAGGTACGGCTCACCGCGCTGAGCAGCCTCCTCGGCCGCCCTGTCGGCCTCGGTGTCCGTCGTCAGGCTGTTGGTGCGGAGCTCCCTGTCAAAGTTGATCTTGATAGAACCAACGTTGGTGGCACCAACGGGGACGTAGCTGAAGAAACCCCAGCGCCAGCGACCAAGGAGAACGACACGCTCGTTGAGAGTGAACAAACCGGGCATGGTGCGCTGAAGATACGGGGACACGCTGTAGAGTTCTCCGGCAAAGTGGCGTCTCCTCTCAACGACCCAGTTGGTGGGTGAGTGGAAGCGGTGGTAATCCCCGGGGGCGAGGTAGATGACGGCGTAGTAGAGGACGTGACGGCTGCCGGGGGTGAGATAATCGTACCAGGCCTTCTCACCCTTCTCGAGCTCGGCGCGGACTTCAGAGACGGAGGTGGCAGAGGGAGTGACGGATTCGTCCTTGGGCTGGTCGAAGCTGTCGCTCTTTCTCTTCTTCTTGTTACCGGACAGGAGATCGGGGAGGGTGTACGAGATACCGTTAACCGAGGCGAATTCTTCGTCCCTCTTGACCAGTTCTTCGTCGCCTTCGAGTTCACGCTGGGCGGCGGGCTTGATGAGCTTTTCGAGAGAGGCTTGGCTGCTGGAGAGACTTGGCGAGGGGCTGTTTTGACCGAGGAGAGCATCGATGGTATATGTCATTCCCTTGACCTGTTCGATATCGCCGCCTTCGATCTGACCGTACTGCAGAACTCGACCATCCGCGGGAGACAAGAGAGCGTTCGGGTTCGGATCCAGGGGTCGGGCACCGGGCTTCAGGGTACGGTAGAAAAAGGCGGCCAGGTTGGGGAAATTGCGAATATCCGGTTCCTCGATCTCGTCCATGTTGACACCAAAGAACCAAGAGTACAGCCGGAAACCAGGAGAACGGAGGTGGTATGGAATGACGAGCTCATTGAACTTGCCCCAAAGCCGAGACATGGCCTTCAATGGCAGAGTCGACATGATTTGCACCTGCCTGGAAACCATGTGTCAGTCCTCTGTCCTCGTGCCTCAAGATCAAGTATGTATCTGGAGTGAAATATCGTACCAAGGTCCATCGGGCCTCACCCGTGGCCTCTTTTTTGGCTTCTTCTCTGGTTCGCCATTTTCTTGAGGTTCCTTCTCCCGCGAGTAGACCTTGTAGAACTGAACCAGACCCAGGAAGCCGACGCCGAGGCCGACGGGAATGGGATACCACCGAATCTTGGAGTCGTTCACTTTGGAGTCGGCCTTGGGCCGGTGGGACTGCTGGGAGAAGGAGCGTTGGCCGAAGAGGCGCTGCTGCTGGCGGCCGTATCGATGTGTCGAGTGTGCCCGACGAGTGGCGGCTTGCGAGAGGTGGTGGTGAGAGAGGCGCTGAGAGCGTCGAAGGAGTGTGGTGCGAGCCAACCCAGCTACAGGTAACCCGACAGAGATCGAAGCAGGGCCAATCTGAGGAAACGCCATGTTGCCCCTTTTAATAACTTTTTCTCATCCGTAACCAGGGGAGCAAGGCGGTGTATGTTGACGAACCTGCATCGTTGGCCTGCCTGCAAAAAAAAAAATAGCAGCGGCTCTGGGGGCAGGCGCGGGGAATCTCAGGCCGTTGATATACCGCAAAGTCGCAAAGTCAGTCACACAAGAAATAAACCGGTCGCAAGGGCGGCACAGCTGCACGATTAGCTCAAGCCGTCACTCTCATGACGCAGCTTGCTTTTCAGACTGAAAGAGAGAGCGAACCAGTGGATGCGACGGTGTTTCCCGCCCAGAGCCGTTATCCCGGGATGGCAAGGCGCCGTTTGGGGGGGCACCATTGGTCGCGTGTGGTGGGTACATGTGTCCCCTATTTTTTACAGAATAGTTTGATTAATCACATGTGATTCCGCTGATTTCCTGTGTACAGGGGGCCACCCAGCGTGTGGTCGGGTACCGATACCTGGGGGCACCCTCCATCTTGAATGACAGCGTGGAATTTGGAAGCTGACCGAGCAAGAGCAAGGCAGTGAGCGTGGGTGGTGCTCAACAACAGCTCTCTCTTTTCGATGCGAAGAGCGGACTTTTTTTTTATTTCAGACATAACACTTTACCTCTCCACATCAATAGGATGCGCAACAAGTTCGATTTTGCTCCCCTCTTTTCCAACAACGTGGTCTCTCCTTTTCTCCGCGACGTGACCGACTGACTCTCCCTTGTTTGCTTGCGCCCACCTCACCCTCACCCACATCAACATCGACGCTCCGAGCGCCCCAGACTGTCCGTGCCTGGCATGCGTCTTTCTTGACTTCCATGAATAATTGACAGCGCCGCCCACCTTTTCTCTCCAGTCTCGTCGCCATTGCCCACCCATCATCTTGACCGACAGATATTAGCAGCAAACATGGCGGACGAGCAGGTCGCCGCTCCACAGGAGGATGCGCCCTTGGTCGTTAACCTCAACCTCATCCAACCAAGCGGCACCTCACTAAGCTTCGCCCGAACACCAGCTGCTACCACTTTGCGCCAGCTCAAGGCCAAAGTTCGAGAGGGACTCCCCTCGCGACCATCCGACGAGCAAATCAGATTCATCTACCGCGGCCATCTGTTGCAGCGCGATACCGACACATTGCTGGATGTCTTTACAGAACAGGTGGTAAGTGTAACGTTACTGTGTCGCTTTCTCTCGACTTGGTGTGCTAATACTGTTGCTATAGATCCGATCAAGCGGCGACCAACAATCTCTTCATATGGTGATCAGAGATGTTGTCAACCAGCCGTCTGGCAACACCCCCCAGCTCGCAACACCGAACCATGGCCAGAGCCCTGCGCCTGGCAATGCGAATGCCCCTCCCAACAACCATGCGCAACCTCCATTTGGCCGCCAGCCACATATCCAGTTTCACCCTCAGCATGGAATTCGTGTGGCAGCCGCCGGCTTTATCCCGCCTCCACAGCCCATGGTCCATCACCTACAACACCAAGATATGGTTCAGTGGGGTGCTCACCTTCAGCGGGAGGCCTTTCAGCGGCAAGTAGCGCATATGAATACTCAACGACACTTTGGATATGGTATTCCGCCTCTCGATGGCGTACACCACGGCCCGGTCATGGGGGCTGAGCACCCGGCGCATGCCTTGACGCGGGATATGGTTGGGCCCAACGGACAACAAGTACGCATCACTGTTCAGAACGAGGTCGTTGCGCCAGCCGCTGGCTCTGCTCCAGGAGCGGGCGGTCCTACATCCAACCCTGGAAGTCATCGCCCATCTTCTGCGAACCAGACTCGTGACTGGATCCATGGTGATGACGCCGCTAGGGCCTCGCAAACCATCACTGATGCGATGCAAAGAAGTGCATCTGGCGCATCCTTAGCAAACATGGCGGCTAATCTTGCGAATTCCAATGGGCCTATTCAGCCAATTCAACCTGGGGTGACTACGCCTCTCTTTCCCGGTGTATCCAGACATGTCAGTCGTTCTGCGACCCCAGATCCCCACACCAGACATGCTGCCTATGGTATTCCGCCGCTGCAGCGGCAGGTAGCACCACAGAATCAATCTCAATCACAACCCCAGGGCCAACAGGGACAGTCCCAAGCTCGGGCCTTGGATGATCTCGAGGTTCACATTTTGTACGACCAGGCCGGTCCTCGTGCGTTACTGGTAAACAGTCCTCTAGATCTGTACACCTCGCGGCAGCCACATGCTTTACCTGTGAGGCCACCACAGCACGTCTACCAGCCCATGGCTTTCGGCGTACCTCCTATGGCAGGCCCTCTTTTCTACCCACCTCCGTTCTATCCCCCGCCAGCCATGTATCTGCCACCTTTTCAACCGAGCCCCATGCCATTGGCTTTCCAGCAGCCGCAACCCGGACCGGTGCCACCGCCTCTCTGGCCAAACCCAAATGCAGCAGCTCACGGGCCAGTACAACCCCAGCAGGGACAAGCCCAAGCAGGTTTCCAGGCTCATCCTGTCGACGGCCTTCGGCATCGGGTTCAGCAGGCCCAAGTGGCAGCTCCAGCTAACCCTCCTCTTGCCCGGCCTCCACAGTTTGGACATCAGGGCAACCCTGGAGGGTGGGTGGTGGCTGCCTGGCCCACCGTGTGGCTCATCATTCGTCTGGCCGCTTTTGCCTTTTGGTTCTCCTACAGCAACCCCTCATGGGAACGGTGGCTGTCGTTGAGTATAGCGTCCCTGATCCTCCTGGCGTTCCATACAGGGATTTTGAACGCCTTGGTCAACGAAGTGTTTCAGCCCATCAGAGAGCATATTGAGAACCTGATCCCCAATCCGGAACATCAGAATCAACAGAGACCAGCACAGAACGCACCAGCAGGGGCTGGTCAGGCTGGCAACCCCGATCCGGCGGAGACTGCGCGGCGGTTGGTAGCGCAGAGACGGAATGCTAATGGAAATTGGCTACAAAACCAGGCCAGGTGGCTAGAGAGAGCAGGTATCTTGCTTCTGGCCAGTTTGGCGCCAGGGGTTGCAGAGAGACATATTCAGCAACTGGAGGCGCGGGAAAGGGAGGAGAGGAGAGCTGCTGAAGAGGCTGCCGAACGGGAGAGGGCCGCTGCTCGAGCAGCCCAGGAGGCCCAGACGGAAGGGCAGCAACCAGGACATGAAGATGGAGCGGACCATGGGCAGCAAGAGGAGTCTCCAGTACAGCCCCAGCCTCAGGCTCAAGCTCCTTTGGTGGAGGTATAAAATTCGGAGACTGACCGGCCGTTGGGGCTGCTTTGTGTTGACGTGCTTTTCAGGAAGCCTTGGGCTTTTTTTCCCAAGCGAAATCTGTGGTTGGAAGAGCATCCTCTATAGGCTACGCCAAAATTTGGTAACAGCACCGGTACCTAGGCCACAGCCTTGTTCTTTTATGGTTTCTGATGTTGCGGAATTTCCATCCAGCTAGCTTAGCTACTGTACTTAGTTTTGTGAGCGTATTTTGTACCAATTCGATCCTTGAGACTTTGGGTCTTTCTTTTTATGTTACTGATAGTGTAAGATGATTGGCCAGTGTCAAGACAGCAAGATATCAAAGAGCTTGCCTCTTACCTATGTGCTTATCGCCGAGGTTAGTCTCCCCCTGGGCGAGGCTAAAGCCGGAGTTGTAGCTTTAAAGGGCGGGGTGATGGACCGAGGCCGAGGCACGGCTGGGGTTCCCCGCAGATTCCACGATCTAGTATAAACCCCCTGAGTTAAGCTCCACCACCCCGGGAAAGGGAACCGAACCGGATCGGCGGTAGCGATATAGCGGGTACATACCTCGAGGGCTGGGAATTATAACATCCACCTCCTTTGTCCCAATTCTAGTTGTCTGTCTGTTTCATCTCTCATCTTTTCTCACACCAAGACCGATACAATGGCCGAAGCTCAGCTCGAGGACTTCTCGTCCCTGTTTTCCCTGAAGGGCAAGGTTGCCGTCATCACCGGTGGCTCCCGTGGTTTGGGGTTGAGTGCTGCTTCTGCGTATGTTCATCCTGTCAGTCTGTATCAATCACGTCACTAACACCCCCCATTAGCATCCTCCAATCCGGCGCCTCCCTCGTCTTCATCTCCTCGCGCAAGGCCGCCGCCTGCGAATCCGCCGTCGCCACCCTCAACGCCCTCCCCAACCTCTCCCCCGGCGCCAAGGCCATCTCTGTGCCGGCCGACTGCGCCACCCAAGCCGGCGTCACCCACCTCGTCGAGCAGGTGAAGAAGCACACCGACCACGTCGACATCCTCCTCGCCAACGCCGGCGCCACATGGGGCGAGTACATCGACACTCACTCCGACTCGGCCTTTGCCAAGGTCATGGACCTCAACGTCAAGGGCGTCTTTAACCTCATCCGTGACTTCGTGCCCCTCATGAGCAAGAACGCCAGCGTTGAGACGCCGTCAAAGGTGATTATCACTGCGTCGGTGGCTGGGTTGGGGATTGGTACTTTGGGCAAGCAGGGCACGTATGGGTACAGTGCTAGCAAGGCGGCGGTTATTCACCTGGGGAGGAACTTGGCTGTGGAATTGGGCCCGAGGCATATCAGCGTGAACAGCATCTGCCCTGGGTTTTTCCCTAGCAAGATGAGCAATGGGCTGCTGGAGATGAGCGGTGGGCATGATGCGTTTGCCAATGCCAACCCGATGAGGAGGTTAGGGAGACCGGAGGATATTGCTGGTGCGATTGTGTATCTGTGCAGTCGGGCGAGTAACCACGTGAACGGTGCTGATTTCGCCATTGATGGTGGTGCTATGTGGGCTAGGGGGCAGTTGGATTCCAAGCTTTGAGAGAGGAGTTGTTATTTAGCATTTTGAGCATTTTTGTTTTATTTTTTGAGATAAATATATGCACCCTCTAAGAAGTATCCGCCTTGATGACCGGCTTCCTCGCAACCCACGTACTGGCTCGATACACAGTCTGCAGCATGGACTCGGTATCATGTATATACGGCGCCTCGACCCCCGTCTCCCTCGACTCAACCACGAACCCAACCTTTGTCACCAGCTCCATCACCTCCTCATCCGTCAGCTCAAAGTTCCCCGGCTCCGCAATCCCCGTCATATCATCCCCGCCGCTCATATGGGCCTGGTTCTCACTCTTATTCGGCATCACCCCCTCGAAATGCCACAGCAACGGCCCAAAGTTCACCAGCACCCCCCCCGGCTTCAAACACCCATAAATCACATCCAAATACCTAATCAGGTTCGGGGCCGTATCGAGGAAAAAAACCGCCGCCACCACATCAAACGCCCCCGCGTTTTCCTCCTTGGCGTACTCGCACAAGAAATCCGCAGCCGTCATGCTCATCTCGCCGACCCTGCCCGTCTCCTCCTGCACCCTCATTGTCTCGCTCATACAGTGCACATCCGGCACCTTGTACCCCCTAAACTGATCCCTTCTTGTCCTGTGATTCGAAAACCCATGCACCCAAGGAAAAACCTCGTACTGCCCCGCCCGCTCGCAGCAGTTCAAGATGTAAGAGCTCGCCAGCAGTTGGTGGTAGGAAATCTCATTCCCCTCCGCTATACACCCCCGTAGAAACAGTTCAAACACCAACCTCCCCAACCCCGCGCCCGGCACCAAAACCCGCAGTTTCTCCCCTTCTTTCAACCTCTTCTGCTCTTGTTCAACAACCTTGAAGACATTCCGGAAGCAGACATCCCTCTCCCTTTTTCCTTCTGCCGACCAGTCCCGGTAGAACTGACGAATTGTGCTCCTCGCCTTGTCCACATCCCCATTCTTTGCACAGCCTGCCCACTCATCCGGGATTTTAAGGGTGTCAGTAGCAGTCCGTGACTTTTCGTCGGGCACCCCCAGGTTGAAGTTTGAGAGGGCAGCTTTGAAGATGGCCCTGGACAGCTCGGCGTTGGAGTCGATGCAGTCGTCGACTTTGGAAAGCGTTTCGAGGTAGTTGAACGGTGGGGATGACAGGAGCCGGAGGTGGGCTTGGGGGAGGGAGTAGAAGGACTGCCGGCGGAGGTGGGTGGTTTGGTAGTGGGCCAGGCGGGGGTATTGTCTGCCGTCTCATGTCAATATTTTCAATCCAATATGTATGTGATGTGATGGTGAGATGAAAACTTACTGGAAAGAATCAGCAGCGCAATACATGACTCTTAGCTCATCGACATCGATGGCCTCCTCGCCCGTGTGTTCGACGCCGTTCCATGACGTATCCTCCTCCACCTCCATGTTTCAATAAAAATATTTAAAAGTCGTGTTCACAAGGGAAGTTTGAGTCTCTGAAGTTTATGAAACAAGCATGCAAGGTGAGTTCACCCAGCGACCAAGTGAGTGAGTGAGTGGGTTTGGCCGACTTGTTTTAAAGTCTCGGCGCTGCTATCGGCGGCGGCGGCAGTGGCCGTGAGGGACCGCCGATGGTTGTTGCTGACCAAGATACTCCGCTTTTCCCGAGAACGTCAAATATAGTGGGAAAATAGAGCATCAAACATATTGGTACAAACAAGGGAATCTATTCACGAACACACTGATGTGGAAAAAATCAACTGAAGTTGCTTTTTGAGAAAACCGAGAGTGAGCGCAGTCAGGATTCGAGTTTGTGGCGGGACCCTAACCCTGGATTATCCTCGACGTCTTCGAGTCTTTTTGAGATTGTGTTTTTTGCCGTCTTACGAGGCTGGATACCAAGCGAATCCAAAGAGTCACAAAACATCTTGGGGGAGTTAATTCTCGCTTCTAAAACAAAAATGACTGAATGGCCAGACCAAAATCAACAACGTGGAATGTTATCACTCCCAAGAGTGGGAGTCCCAGGCAAGAAAAAACGATCCGCCCAGGGGTCGAACCTGGAACCTCCTGATGGATTAATATGAAATCGTAGTCAGACGCGCTGCCATTACGCCAGCGGACCATGCAATTAGATATTTGTTTGGGACGGATTTAGCATACAGGATGGAATGAAACAGAGGAATTCCCCAAACAGATATTGTGATATTCTCATCACCAACCATCAGGGCATTGATTGCTGAGAGTACGGCGGACCTGACGAACAGATTAGTACGACATTGTACCCTTTGCTAAAGCCCAGGAGATGCTGGACTCTGTGGAAGGCGGATGAGATCTCGGTGGTGAGACTGCCAAGCATTGTTGGGAGAGATATTTATCTTTCCTGCTGGCCAGGCCGGCGGTGATTCACACCATCAGAGTCATCAGTTGTTGAGGATAGGCGTTTACGCCATCTGCTTGTATTCTACCTAGCCAGTTGAGCATACTCAGACGACCATGTTTTAGTTACGCCTGTGTTCAGCCACACCAAAGGTTACCACAACCATGCCAAGCATCGCCCAGACAGTCAGCGATTGCCGAGTCTGGGCAGAGCTCGAGCCTCACCTTATATTGATGTCTGAAAATGAGAAGAACTTCAAGATGGGAGCCTGGGAGGATGTGGTGGCTGTCGCACTTTATTGTGAGTGTGAGGTGTTGGAAGAAGAGTTCACGGAGATCTCAATCGCCTCGCTGATCTCGGGATTTCTGCCAATCGGTCTGGCCGCTGTTGGCACATTTCCAGCAACTGTTGCTGGAAAATGTGTTGACGGCGGTGACATTGATGAGTATAAGACAAAACCTGTAAACTCGAAGCCGAGGTGTCACAACCTCCTTTGTGCAAGTGCATGGTGGGGCCAACAGTTGCGGAAGGAACGACAAGTCTAGGTGGGGCCAGGAAAGCCAAAAAAAAGCATGCAACGAACATGAAGAGAGGGAGCAACGCCTGCTATGTGCCCAAATTCCACAAAAAATGGAAGGAACACCTCCTCATGGCAGCGGATGACGCAAATGAAGCAAAACAGATACCACAAGACCAAAAACAATCATCACCAACACTCCTGTGGAGTGTTGGTGATGGAATCGACTCCGGTACGGGGAATCGAACCCCGAGCTTCGCGGTGAAAACGCGATATGTTAACCGTTACACTATACCGGATAGTTGATTTGATGTGAGAATGGAAAGGAAATTGGGCATATTGAGACCAACTTTCAAAGAGCGGTTTCCGATCTCATTTGCAACGTCAAAGTGAGAGTGTTTGCAATGCACAATTCAGTGAGATATCAGAAACAGTTGCCTGTTATTTGGGAAGGCGCTGCTCCGCCCACATTTCTGAGCCGCAACAGTGGGGCACCCGCAATGGAGGAAGAGGAAAGAACTCACTCAACACCAGCACATGCCAATTGGTTACAGATGTCAGAGTCGAGGGGCCCTTGTTGCAAGTTCCTCTTCAAGATATTGAATGACGTTAACTGATATTGAGCATTCTTCCGCGCAACCTACCATATCACTTGCCAGCCCCGCCTCCACTCCGGTACACCTTGGGCCTCACGACATGCCTCGCGGGCATCTATCGCGAGTCCGCGACGAAAACTGCCCGCGGGGTACTCGCGGGGCTCGCGGGGTTGCGCACGAACCCACGTGATATCGGATGAGGCTAATGCAGATAAACAGCACGAGGCGCAAGGCAGTCCGTGCAATCCCGACCCGGGCAGCACTAGCGGGTTTGGATGAACCCCCGAGCTCCCAAATTTTCTAACTTGTGCAGCTCGAACTCTTCAACATCCAGTTGATCCCACCTCTCCGCTCTTTCGGCATCCCTCTGTTTTTGTGAGCGATTCCCAGATTGTCACCATGCCTGCCCTCCTCAGAACCATTGCCCCCTTCCTGAGGGCGGCTACCCTCAGACAGTCTGCCACTCCTCTGGTCCAGCTCCAGCGCCAGACCCGCACTCCCATCCTTAACTTTGCCCGGTCGTACGCTGTTTTTGAGCGCACCAAGCCCCACGTCAACATTGGTGCGTTAATCCTCAAATTATCTCGAACCTGCCACCGTTACTAACAACTGTTCAAGGCACAATCGGTCACGTCGATCATGGAAAGGTCCGCACATCTCCGGGAATGCGCCCAATTTGCGCCCTCACCCCCCACTAACCGAGCTCCCACAGACTACCCTTTCCGCCGCCATCACCAAGAGGCAAGCCGAGAAGGGCATGGCCAACTTCCTCGAGTATGGCGCTATCGACAAGGCCCCCGAAGAGCGCAAGCGTGGTATCACCATCTCCACTGCCCACATCGAGTACTCGACCGAGGCCCGCCACTACTCACACGTCGACTGCCCTGGTCACGCTGATTACATCAAGAACATGATTACCGGTGCCGCCTCCATGGATGGTGCCATCATTGTCGTTGCTGCTTCCGATGGACAGATGCCCCAGACCCGTGAGCACTTGCTCCTCGCCCGCCAGATGGGTATCCAGAGAATCGTCGTCTTCGTCAACAAGGTCGATGCCCTCGAGGACCCCGAGATGTTGGAGCTCGTCGAGATGGAGATGCGTGAGCTTCTCACCTCGTACGGCTTCGACGGTGACAACACCCCCGTCGTTCTCGGTTCTGCTCTCTGCGCCATGGAGGGCAAGCGCCCCGAGATTGGCGAGTCCAAGATCGATGAGCTTATGAAGGCTGTCGATGAGTGGATCCCCACCCCCGAGCGTGACACCGACAAGCCTTTCCTCATGCCCATTGAGGACGTCTTCTCCATTGCCGGCCGTGGTACCGTTGTCTCTGGCCGTGTCGAGCGTGGTACTCTCAAGAGAGATGCCGATATCGAGCTCATTGGCAAATCCAACGAGATCATCAAGACCAAGGTCACCGACATCGAGACCTTCAAGAAGTCCTGCGAGGAGTCCCGCGCCGGTGACAACTCCGGTCTTCTCCTCCGTGGTGTCCGCCGTGAGGACATCAAGCGTGGTATGGTCGTTGCCAAGCCCGGCACCGTCACTGCCCACAAGAAGTTCCTGCTCTCCCTCTACGTCCTGTCCAAGGAGGAAGGTGGCCGTCACTCCGGCTTCGGTGAGAAGTACCGCCCCCAGATGTACATCCGCTCCGCCGACGAGTCCGTCACCCTCTACTTCCCTGAAGGCACCGAGGATGCCTCCAGCAAGATGGTCATGCCCGGTGACAACGTCGAGATGTTGGCCGAGCTCTACAACCCCGTTGCCGTCGAGGCCGGTATGCGCATCACCATCAGAGAAGGTGGCCGCACTGTTGCCACTGGTCTCGTCACCCGCATCCTCGAGTAAACTCTCGATGAGTTAAATAATGAAATCAAATAAAAAATCAAAGAACAACAACTCACGGCCGGGACAAAAATGGAAGGGGTCCCTTGGTTTCGTGTGTGGATAAGGGGGATGGGGGCGCTTTGGCGTTGAAAACGAACTTTGTACACTGTATATCATCATGATGTGTTTAGAAAGAAAGCGCCAGTTTGGAAGCTGTGCCCTGGGGGTTCTTTGTGCATTATTACACTTGGGGCTCGGCTGATCTCCCCTCCTTCTGCTTCGGTTGTTGTTTTAAAATACTGTAATATAGAAGACATACAAAAGGAAATGGGAGAGAATGATGAATCACGAAGGTAAAGAAAGACTTGTACAAGAGATGAGATGATGTCACACGCAGTGGGAATGGGATGGTGGAAGCGCTTTTGGAATTTGATCATTGTCCACGAATGTGATGTCCCATTGAGAGTAAACCATGCCCACTCTCCCATCAATCAAAGCAGATGTCGAGATCTATTCGCTGGGCACGCGCGAACAAAACAACAACAGCAAACAACAAGAATGCACCTTGAGTGTGTGTTTGCAACTTGGGTCATTTCAGTTGCTCTTCTCAGAAAAAGCACAAAAAAGGATGCTTTCACAAAAAAAAAGGTAAAACCCGTGATAACTCCCACTTTGTTGGCCTTGGTTTCCCCCTTATCCCATGCAAATAATGAGTGAAAAGAATCCCAACGCTGGCCGCCTTGTTGATCTTTCGGAATATCAGTTGTCGGTTTCCTTCAGCCCGTTTTCTTCCGTAAAGTGGTCGTCAAATCACAAAGTTTGTCCCTTTTTTGTTCTTATTTCCCAGCCGGCGAAAAAGGGTGTTCTGGTTGGTATCCGTCCCCCCCCACTTTGCCCATGGTTTCCCCAAAGAATTCCGTTTTTGTCACCGTTTCCCTTTCCCCTTCTCCCCGTCATGTCATCAAACCACAAAACCCGGAAGCCCCGTGGTTGTCAAACCCTCCATGTCTCCCGACATTAGAGTGGGTGATTTACCGGTACTGTTGTGTCACATGTTAGTATTCTGTATGTTCGGTTCTGAAGTGGCATCGGCGGGGGTGTGGATGTGTGAATCGCTCGGGGTTCTGTGTATGTGGTGCTCGGATCTCGAAATCGGGGGAGTTGTTATCGTACCTTGACGAAACCAATGTCGGCAGCCTTCTCACGGAAGCACTGACGGCAGATGTTGAGGCCGTACTTGCGGATCAGACCAGCCTGGTGGGTGCAGACACGGCTATATATCGAAAAATCTATCGTTAGCCACACTTGTTCTTCAAGGTTCTCTCTCTCTTTCGTGTGAAATCGTGATGGCTTATCCCCCTCCCTCCTCTTTCCATTCCTCCTCTTGCCCAAGAACCCTAGCTCTTCCCCCATCCGATATGCCTTCCTCCTGGTACCCATGTTCGTCGGCGGTATCGTTCGTGATGGATGTTGTGGGGTTTCTTTGTGATTCCTTACCAAGCGCGAGAGCCCTTGCCGTAAGTGCGGGGGCGGGAGTTCCAGACAGACTCGTGAGACATCTTGAGAGATTGATGGAATTTTTCCTTGCGAAAAAGGGCAAATTTCGGAGAGGGGTGGGTTTGGCGTGAAGATGTCGTCGACGGAGAGCGGTGGTCGGCCGGAAATGTTGCTAGGGAGTTCCGCAATATGGACACGAGATTTTTCTTGTGCGGGAGGGCTTCGCTGGTGGGTGGCTTGTGCGTTTGTGGCGCTTGGCCTGGAATTGTGGGTCTTTTTACTTCACCGCCCGCTGGCTGATAAGCCCCGTATCTTATCGCTTATCAGCTGTCTGCAGATTTGACAGGGATTTGATGGCATGTTGGGACAGTGCGCTTGCTGCAGTCGCTGGCACTGTTTCAGATGGCGGGGCGGGAGCTGCAAAACTGGGGAAGCTTTCCAGCCGATGTGCCAGGATTGCGCCGCCAGTTGTCAGCGAGCTCTTCTGCAAAGTGGCATCTTTTTCTGGGATTTCAAAGCATCCCTTGATTTGCATTTGCCTGGAGGCATCTATTCAATAGAGCCGGCTCTCTGAATTTATCCATCTTTACCTTTTTCATCGGCCCCTGTTGCATCGAGCTCGATTTCAAAACACCCATCCCGCAAACCGCCGTGGTACGACATCACCACCATGGTTCTCCTCAAGAGCTTCATGCTCGCCGGCCTCACGGCTGTTGTCGCGGCCAAGTCTGCCGTCCTCGACCTTATCCCTAGCAACTTCGACGAAGTCGTCCTCAAGTCCGGGAAGCCCACCCTCGTCGAGTTCTTCGCCCCATGGTGTGGCCATTGCAAGAGCCTTGCTCCTGTCTATGAGGAGCTCGCCCACGCCTTCGAGTTCACCAAGGATGTCCAGATTGCCAAGGTTGATGCCGATGCCGAAAGGTCGTTGGGCAAGCGTTTTGGTGTCCAGGGTTTCCCTACACTGAAGTGGTTCGATGGCAAGAGTGACAAGCCAACAGAGTACAATGGTGGACGTGACCTCGAGGCTCTGACCGCCTTCATCACCGAGAAGACTGGTATCAAGTCCAAGAAAAAGCTCGCTCCTCCCAGTAGTGTTACCTACCTGACCGATGCTACCTTCAAGAACACCATTGGCGGTGACAAGCACGTTCTTGTTGCTTTCACTGCTCCCTGGTGCGGACGTAGGTGTCCACCTATATTGAAATCTCAAAACCAGAATGCTAACTCAGCTCCATAGACTGCAAGAGCCTTGCCCCCACTTGGGAGTCTCTTGCCACCACCTTCGCCAACGAGCCCAACGTCGTCATTGCCAAGGTTGATGCCGAGGCTGAGAACAGCAAGGCCACCGCCAACGATTATGGTGTGACCTCGTATCCCACCATCAAGTTCTTCCCCAAGGGCAGCACCACTCCCGAGGACTACAACGGTGGCCGTTCTGAGGAGGCCTTTGTTGCCTTCCTCAACGAGCAGGCCGGTACCCACCGCGCCGCCGGCGGCGGTGTTGATGCCACCGCTGGCACCTTCGCCGTTCTCGATGAGATTGTCACCAAGTACATTGGTGGCACCCCCCTTACCGATGCCGCTGCCGAGGTCAAGAAGGCTGCTGAGAGCCTCAAGGAGGATGCCCAGTACAAGTACGCCGAGTACTACATCCGCGTCTTTGACAAGCTTAGCAAGAGCGACAGTTTTGCTGCTAAGGAGCTCGCCCGTTTGGAGGGTATCCTCAAGAAGGGTGGTCTGGCCCCTACCAAGCTTGATGAGCTTACCACCAAGACCAACATCCTCCGCAAGTTTGTCGAGAAGGTCACTGGCAAGGATGAGCTTTAAACAAGTGTGGATCTGGTGATACAGAAATTTATAAAAGGCAAACGTTCTCCTAAGGCTGAAAAAGGCGTAGGCGTTGGGAGCGAGTGAGATGGCACGTGTATGATAATATTTTGGGTAGCAACAAAGGCAGTGTATCCCATGAGGTTTAACAAACAAAACACGACTCCTGAAAACTCCATGAACTCCTGCTCGTAATTACAGATGCTCTGGCCACGCATGATTTCAGCCGGAGCTTGACTTCTTGTCCTTGTTGGCTGCTAGCTGTGCTTCAAGATTGTCCAGGCGACGCGACATCTCGTCCACTAGTATTATTCCGTGAGTGACCAGGCCACATGTTGGTGGTCGCCAGGGGTGATGACTTACTTTTTGCAAAGATTTCACTAGAAACGCCAGCAAATTTGTTCGAGAGGGTGTTCAGAAGGTCTTCGAGTTGGACCGTGAGCTCAGCATGGGCGTTGTCGCCAGAGGCCTAAGGGGTCATGGTTAGCTTTAGTAGCTTTGCACACAGGAAGGGGGCAACTTACATTTGTTGGACTCGTGTTGTTGGCGTTGGATTCGTTCTTGGAAGCCATACTTATTTTTGTCCGGTACTTTTGTATGCGGAGACTGAAGCAGTTTCTGGATGATTGTACAGTGCGGAAGAGGTTGCTGTCAATGTGTTTTTGATCATGAGCAGCTGGTTCAACGGGTGGGGGGTTGGCTTTCAGGGCACTATTTGATAGCACGGTGCACAGCCCAGTAACGACACTGTGGTAGTCAGAGGGCCGCGCGCTGTTCGATGCCAAGCTTGAAGGTACCCTTGCAGCAGCTGCCTCACCCGACGATATTATTACGAAGACATCATCGTCCATTAAAGCATCACTTTGCATGACGAGACTTAAGTTGCTCACGATAATTCGAGTTTTGTTTGTTTCCTTCCAGATAAGAACTACATTCGTCGTGACTCTACCCTCTCATACTGATTACGACATCGCCCAACAGTAGCAAGGATCACGAGACCCATACAAGTCGTCGCCTCAAGGTGCATCATCCAAATCTCAGGCTTTACATACCGGGAGCTCGTCGACATTGAAATATGATTCCTACACCACCATAGTAGCTTCAACTAGGCTGGCAAGCAAGCTGCGACTCCGCCACGATGCCTGAACAAGAACAGGATGAACAACAGCGACGGCAGCAGAGTGACCGGGGGCAGATGCTCCTCTTGGTGCTCATCTTTTATCTCACATTCTTCTCTGAGAGCGATGCACCAGCACTGATATCAACACCATATCTCACCGCCTCAGAAAGGCTTGGCCGCCAGAGGGCTGCTCACGGCATTCTCAACAGCACCAACTGGGGCGACTTTTCTCCCCACGCACACAAGGAAGGGGCGCCGCCATGGCAAGAGCCCAAGTATCTCAATCTCACCGGGTTTCGGGAAAGTGACGGTCTCGCATGGGAGGATCTTGATTATTTCAAGGATCGGTGTCGTCAGTGGAGCAAACATGCCTACCCACCGCAGGAAGGAGGGGACGAGTGGGCTCATGGTTCGGCGAAGAGGACATGGCAGAATGCGACGGGCACTGTCCAGGGGAAGTGGATCCGTCGTCAGGGGTCGGCTGCGAAGTACAGAGATAACTTCAACCTCACTGCCGTTGCTCCTGGGGTCAATTGGATGGTGGACGATGTCGACTGGGGCTGGAATGTCACTGGGTCTCACGGCACTGTTGTCCTACGCCTTGAGGAGGATGACACACCAGATAGCTGCTATCGGGAGACTCCAAAAGATGAGAAAGAGAGCCATACGGCGGGTGTTGCGAGGGAGATCTCAGCTGTGGCAACTTTTCAGGATGAAGAGACCTCTGCTGCCAGTTTCGTTATGCAACTTTACGGTGTTCACTGGCCATTGCAAGGGTCGATGATTCTGACTACAACTAGTGAGAAATTCGCGGGCATCTTTGGCTTGCCTCACCTCACGCCTCACGCCAAGTTTTTCGAGACGAGTCAACGTCTGTTGAACCACACTGTCGATGAAACGCTGCGAGAGAGAGAACGTAGCAGGCTTCCAGATATATCCAACCCATGGAATCCGGTCATTGAAGGGGACTTTGGTGGCACACTACCCCGTTGTGAATACATTTTGTATCTGCAACTGCATGCCCTGGACCATCACTATACACATGACAAGGGATTCATGGATTCGTCGCGTTCCATTATCGACGATCTGGAGCGGGAGCTTCGCTATCCTACTGGCGCTCGAAACACGAAGCTACCTGAGCTGCAAATGTCCCTCGTCGCCTGGTCGCCTGACTGCTCATATTATCTCGAGTCTAAGGGACCTCCCTTATTCCCACCCGCAGATGGCCAGCATCTTGTTGGTGTCAAGGAGGAGGTGCTTCTTTCTCGGGTGAACTACTCGCTGCTAGTTTTCGCGTTTGTATACGCAGTACAAGTCATACTCTTGAAAGGGCAGATCAAAGAATCCCCCACGCCCTCTACGCTCAATCGGTTGAGCTTTTGGAGCATGTCAATGATGTTGCTGGCAGATGGCCTGGTTTTCTCAGCTTCATCTGCTTGGTCTGTCAGTGCATCTGACGGGTTTCACTCTGCCTTGCTGTTAACATTTGTCTCGTTCATGTCATCGGCTATCGGAGCTGGACTCTTGGCCAGCATCCGTGGCAGTGAACCAGAGAGGAGAGCTCGCGATACTCCTCCAGCCACCAACACGGGTACTACGAACACAACCACTACCGCCCCAGCACCACCTCCTGCTCCGGCAGTCCCACAGACCTCAGGCACTCTGCCCCCGCCAGTAACAGCTGGACCTCCCAGGGCACCCTCTCCCCCGATCATTATCCCTTCAGACCAAGACATCGACGCCGAGATTGCAGAAAACGTCGCAGCCGGCGCAGGCGCCGTCCCAGGCCTAGGCACCACCACCACAGCCCCAGCAACGACAACCACACCAACCAACCGCCCCCAAACAGCCCAATTCGCCCCCGTAATCTTCTACTTCTTCCTCCTCATCCTCGCCATCATGGTCCTAACAATCCTCTCCCTCTCCTGGCCCCCCCGCGCCCGCTCAATCTACATCAACACCATCTCCTTCCTCTACTTCTCCCTCTGGCTCCCCCAAATCTGGCGAAACGCCCGCCGCAACAGCCGCCGCAGCTTCTCCTGGAACTTTCTGACAGGCCAATCCCTCTGCCGCCTCGCCCCGTTTGCGTACTTTTACCTCTACGACAAAAATTTCTTGTTCGTCTCGACCGATTACACAACCTTCTCCATCCTCGTCGCCTGGGTGTGGGCCCAGCTCCTGACGCTGATCCTGCAAAACTTTTGGGAGCCCCGGCTGGGCATCCCGTTTCCGAGAGGTTGGATGCCAGAAGTGTGGGACTACCACCGCATCCTGAGGCAGGATGACATCGAGAGCGGGGTTGTCGTCGGTCTTGAATTTCTCGAGTCTGCTTCGTCGTCGTCGTCGTCGTCGTCGACCGCCGAAGGCCACGGCCACGACCACAGGGGGCAGCTGAGGGAGAGGGCAAAGGAGCTGAGGCAGAGGGGCATGACGCTGAGGAATGTGGACTGCGCCATCTGCAGGGAGGAGATGCTGGTGCCGGTCGTGATGACGGGCAAGCCGGACCCGTCGTGGAGCATGGCTGACATGCTGGAGAGGAAGTCGTACATGATCACGCCCTGCCGGCACATGTTTCACACAAAGTGCTTGGAGCAGTGGTTTAGGAAGCGGCTGGTTTGTCCCATATGCAGGGAGGATTTGCAGCCGCTTTGAGAGATTGTTATACACAGTCTGCAGTATCCCTGGATGATGATGTATAATAGTTTTTAGGTTGAAAGCGGTGTTTTTATATCCACATTATAGGCGATGATTCTGATCGGCATCATAACTCCGGTAATCATGGAGGCGTTTTAAACATTATATTCCGCTGTATTCCTTCTGGCTAACAATTTCTCAAATACATGCAAAGCGTGTCCTTCGCTGAGAGTTACCCATCCACACAACCATGGTAGGTATTCAACCATAACTCGTCCATAAACCACAACAAAAGAACGATAAAAAACTCACCCAATCACAAAACATCCCCTTCACAATCTGACACCCCACCTTTGTAAAAACCATCATCCAAAAACCGATCCAGCATCCCCCTTTAAACCCAGGGCCTCACAGACCGACTGAAAATCCCATCCTCACTCTCCTCACTCCCCCTCACTCCCCTCTCACCCCGTCCCACATCCTCCTCTTCCTCAACAACCCCCTCTTCCTCAACAACCCCCTCTTCCTCCTCCTTCTCCTCCACCACCTCGCTGTTCTCATGGCCCCCATTATGCCCAATAACCCGTCCCATCAACCTTCCAAACCCCCTCGGAATCTCTGGCAACGCCGTCAACGAAAACCTCCTCTTCTTCCTCCCCTGCATCGCAGCAACAGCAGCAGCAGCCCCCGCCTGCGCAGCCTCATTTCTCCTGGCATTTATCATAACCTCCGCATAAGAAAGCGACCTATTATCCCGCCCGCTTGCTCCTCCAACAAAGGTGGTGGTTCTCCTATCACTACCACTACCACCACCGCCGCCACCCCCAAAGATATCCGGCACCCCCATCCCCCTAGTCCCAACTCCCTCCCCACCCCTCCCAGCAAACCCCCAATCCTCACTACTCATCGCAGCAGCACCCTGACCAACCCTATGCCTCCTCTTCTCCGGCACAGGCGGCGGACCTCTCAAATCCAAAGGCGGCAACCTATCCCTAACCCGCTGCTCGTGTCTCCACCTATCCGCCTCCTCCCGCTCCCTTCTAACCTGCTCCACAATATCCCTCGCCCACTGCGGGCGGTTATTCCAAAGTTCTCGACGCTCTTCTTCATCCTTCTCGGACCTTACGTACCACGGCGTCCCGTCCTCATTATCTGGTGGCGGGTACGGGCACTCCGGGATCTCGAGAGGAGGACAAAGATGGTACATGTCGTGGTAGAGGTAAGGGGGAGTAACGCTCCTGTCTATTCCCTTGCCTTTTTCTCTGCTTTCGGTGCCGAACGGGTCAAAAAAGTAGTCACCTGCTTCGGCTACCATGGAGGCGTAGTCGATGACTTCTTCGGATTGTTCTTGTTCGGCTGTAGTGGTGTCTGTTTGGTTGCTGTTCGAGGCTTCGTTGCTGCTCGGGGCTTCGTCCTTGGTAATGGTCATGCTGGAAGCTAGTGTCTGGGCTAGGGTGGTATTGATGTGGTCGTCATCCATACTCGCTGTGACTGGGTTGGTCTCGGCAGTATTATTATCATCATCACTCGTGTCCGCCACACTGGTGTCGCTGGTGTTCGTGTTGGTTTTGACAATGTCGGAATCGCCACCAGCTGCAGACCATGAGCTAGTCTGGGAGGCATCTTCAGTCGATGACCGTGCCTGGTTTTCATTGTCGGCGGGGCTCCTATCCCCAGGAGACAAAACACTTGTCTTACTCCCCTCAGCGCGGGAGCTGCTACCTCGAGCCGGCGGAATAGGAGGACATGTTGATGACAGTCGGCGGCGTGATTCATCCGGTCTGTTCTCCATGTCGGATATCCGATTGCCTTGAGCGCCAGCAGAGGAAGATTTCGTCGATGACCGGGGAAGAAAACCTGCAAAAAATCTCCTCAACCGCTTTCTCTTGTTGCCTTTATTGGAGCTGGTGATGGCCAGGTCTATATCCTGCCCCTGTTGATAATTTTCACTGCTGCCAAAGAAAAGAGGATGAGAAAACTTTTTGCTCTCTCGCCCGTTTGTGGCAGCAGAACCCATGGCAGAAATAACCTCGAAACCTTCTTCTTCCACAACCCCCTTCCCCGCCGAGACTGATAGGCGTTTTGAGACCGAAGCTTCACCATGGCTTGCATCAAGGCGCCCGCCAGTCCGCCCCTCCACACCTTCCTCCGTATCAACCACATGAAGACGTCTCCATTTCCATACCCTCTCCTTACCCCGCCCGTCTCCGACAAGATCCTTGTAGCGATACTTGAAATCCCCTCCCCTCATGTTCACATCACACTCCGACGACCTTCCAGACTCAGTCCCGACAGAGCCCTCGACAGAGCTTTCGCCAGAGAGCCCCCCCTCCGTCGTCATGGGCTGCGCCGTCCGCGTCGGATCCCCAGCCGCCAACTTGTTCCCTCTCTCAATCGAACGGCAGATGACATCAACAGCCTCCTGCGCCCTGTCTTTCCGCATTTTCCAATACAAATCGCTCCCTTCCTCCACCCCCTTCATCTCAAACTCCCTAGTCAAATACTCATCAGAACAAAACTCCTCATGGTCCTCTGCTGTATACAGCCCGCCGCTCCAGCTGCCAAACGAATCGACAGACCTGTGGGATCGATGCGAGCCCGCGGCGGTAACCGGCGGGGTTGGATACGACGAGTTGGGCTCAAACCCACCCGTCGGTTGACCGTGAGGGTTGCGAGGAGCAACATACCCCGGCATTTGCTAAAAGCCGTGAACCGGCGCATCTGACCCGTTATTCCGAGTCGCGCCGGCAGCGACATCCATTTGATTGCCATCTCCTCCTGGCAGACCAGCCTGCTCGCCCAGCACCCGGTCCGGCACGGCGCGGTAGTCTTCTGGCTGAGCTGCTTGGTATCCTGGCAGAGGTGCTCTGTATCCTGACATAGGAGCGTAGTATCCTGGCATGGGTGCTTGTGGCGAAGGTGCTTGGTATCCTGGCATAGGTGCTTGTGGCAGAGGTGCTCGGTATCCTGGCATACGAGGGCAATATCCTAGGATATGAGGGCAGTGTCCTGGCATAGGAGCGTAGTGTCCTGGCATAGACAGTTGTGGCAGAGGTGCTCGGTATCCTGGAATACGAGGGCAGTATCCTGGCATAGGAGCATGGTATCCTGGCACTTGGCCGGGCTGGTGATGATACAAGGCAGGATTGTACACCAACGTCCTGTCGTGGGCGAGAAGGGCCCCCTGGTCTGCTCGAGCTGGCTGAAACTGGGACGTTAAGGCCGGTGTCTTGTTCAAACCGGCCATCTCCTTCTGTTCTCTTTGCTCGACCGCAGGTGTTTTTGGTAGATTCCGTGATCCGTCCGCCGTTTCATCGCAAGAAAAGCCCTCCTCGTCGTCGTCTGAAAATGCACAGTTGGCAGCAATTGTATCGGGACAACCACCCCGGAAAATCTGAACATCATCATCGACGGGCCGTATGCTGTTCTCGGCGCTCTCCTCAGGACTCACGGAATGGTCCCCCATGGGTGTTGGAGAAGAAGGAGCAGAAAAGATGGTTGCTGAGCTGCGTGTATGTAAAATCCTTGAAGGATAAGCAATGATAGTAGGTAGCACTACAAAGTAGAGTAAACAACTGGATAACGAGACGATCGTCGTCGGATGATGCAAACTTGAGACAAAACCAAAAGAAGAAAAAACCGGCATGTGGTTTCTTAAACAGCCAGACCCACGTATGTGCCTGCCTTGTGTGAGCACCACCCACACACCATGGATAAAATAACGGCAACTTACACCTTCCTTTTTTTAATAAGAAAATAGGCCGATTGACCCTCATTTCAGATCTATTAACTATCGTTTGAGGTTTATTAACATTTCTCGAGGCATGGTTCGGAATAAAACATGTGTCGACTTACAGTGCCATTTATCTTGTCGATAGGGTGGTACTTTCTTGCGGGCACACAGTCGAAAGAGCAAGAGTAACGGAGAAGGAAGCAGCTGAGATGGAAATGCATTTGGTATTTCTAAGCCCGCTCTTGCGCTGAGTATCAAGTGGACGGGATCGAAACGTCCACAGAAACCGACCAAGTCTGTAGAGAAAATCCCCAACCCGCTAAACGCCCCAAAATGCTGTAACTGCCCTCAAAAGGCCTGTGATGATGTATGTATCTCCTGTACTGGTAACCTGGCTGTCTTTTTTTTCATTCATCCTCCTCATTCTCAGCGTCCTCCACCGAAGCCAGCCGGGCGGTGCTCTTGCTATTATTGGTACTGCCGTTCTGTGCACTTGGCCAGGCAGACCCATTGCTTTCTGAAGCTGCTCTGCTCCTACCTGCCTCAGCCTCGGTTTGCGGAGGGGAGGTAGTTCGACCGCCGAAGAGCTGCGCCGGACCACCCCAATTTGGAGCAGCTGAAGTGGCTGTTGATGCTGTGTGAGATGGAGACACAGTTCGTTGTGTATTTGAGGCAGCAACTGATGGCACAGCACCACGTGCTTCAGCTGTTTGCGATGATTCCGCCTCATACCCAGCGACCGAAGTCGTGTCTCGGCCTAAAGGACTCGTGCCCCTGGACAAGGAGGATCTTGGCCTCTCTGGAGCAAGGTTCTGCAACCTATCCCTAAGAGCGTTCGCAGGCAGCTGGCCCCAGAGCGGACTTGGTTCTACCACCCCGTTCTCCGCCCTTTGAAGAGGGACAAGTGACCAGCCCGCCGGAATCGTCACACCCTCGGGAAGATCTGGGCTTCCAGCAGGAATAGCCGCTCCTGATTCAGCACCCGGCCTACCAATAGTAGGCTGGGCCCTCGGCAGAAATGCATGCACCTGCGCTTGCAATACCCCTGGATGATGAAGCGCAGGATGAGGCTGTCCCTGAATATAAGGTTGGCCTAGCAGCATGACAGGTGGCTGGGTAGCAGGTTGGCCTGCCGGTTGAACTCCTGGTTGAACAGCTGCCTGAGCAGGTGCCTGAGCTAGATGCTGGATGTTAGCCACAGGCTGAGGAGGCACAACAACTTGACCTGGAACAAGAGGTATTCCTTGTCGCTGACCAGCTTGTTGTGTAGGCGTCTGGCGCAACCGTGTCAGTTCGTTGACCATGTGCTGGAGAAGATACAACTCGTGCGCGGCATGGTTCAGGTTGGCCATCTCTTGCTGGATTCGCGTGCTAAGGTCAGTGAGCTGTCCGCGGATTTGATCCAGCCCAGCACCAGGTGTATTGACGTTGACAGCGGCATTGTCAGCCGGTGCAGGAGCCGCGGGTGCGGGAGGCGCAGGGTGAGCAGCATCTGGCGGCATACCCATTCTCTGAGCCATCTCTCTGATCTCCTCAACGCCACCCTGGGCAAACCCAAGTCTGAGAGGCCCAAAGTTAAACATCCGGACGTTGCGATTCCTGTTGTTCCCCTGAAGTCCCGCCGCTCCCCCTTGTGGTGGTTGACCTGCAGGAGGCTGACCATTTGGTGGAAACTGTGCTTGCGCCGGCTGATTTGGGCCAGGAGGCAAACCGAGCCCCAACCTGAACACCACGGCATCCCCGTTCCTCGCAGGTTGTTGACCTTCGCGTGCGACAGGACGACGGCAGGTTGGGCATACTTGTTGACGCTCCAACCAACTCTTGAGGCAACCGAAATGCAGGATATGGCCACATGGAAGTTTCTTGGCGCGCGTTCTCTCGATCTGGTTGGTATCGTTGGGATCCCAAGGGCGCATTTCTTCTCTGCAGATGATGCAGGTTTCATCTCTGCCAAGATCCTCCACTGTAGCATCGGGGTACTGGTCCATGTGTTTGAGCGCTTGTCGATAGCGGAGGAGGGCTCGTAGACGCTTTAGGAACGACCTCGCGGTCATGAACCAGTCTCTGACGATATGTATGGGGAAGTTGAAAAAGATGACAAGAGCGCAGAAGAAGACGGTATACAGAGTAAGCTTGACAAAGTCTGTAAACTGTTAGCGGTTGAGCAGAGCATTTGGCAGCTGTCGTAAGCACTGACCTGCAAAAAGATCCAGGGACAAAATCCAGTGCCCCTTGGATTCCCAACCTGGCACTTCAATGTCCATCTCGTCGACATCTTCCTCGTTGGGCAGTTCCTCGTCATCATCCTCAGCGGTACCCTCAGCTCTCCGCCTCAGAATTTCGGCCCTCTGCTCTCGAACCTGGCGACGGCGTTCTTCCAAGCGTTGTTGTGATTGGATCCTGTTGACCTGTTGCTCCACCAGCGAGAGGATATACCGACCAGTCGTGTGCAGGGAGCAGACCGTGAGGACGGCAAACTCGAATAGGAACATGACCATGACGGTACGGCGGGCTTGTTGCCAGACGGTAGTGGCGGCATAGCTGAGCAAGAAGACGTCGTAAAGAATACTGACCAGCAGAGAGACGCTGAGTCTGGTATGGAACAGTCGGGGGTTCGCAGGGGGTTGTTGCTCCAGCACTTCGACGCGACCTTCACTGATCCAACCCCACACCTTTCCAGTGATGAGCGCGGTAAACATGATCACAAAGGAGGGGCCGAGTTCGTCCCGGAATATGGTCATGGCAAGGCAGGTTTCGGTGACGGCGAACCAGCCCCGTTCGTAGAGTTGTTCGATTTCGGTCGGTCGCAGGGGGCCGAAGCAGAGGCGTTGGAAGCCATACACAAGAGATCCATAGACAACAAACACCAGATTTGCGAGAACCTAAATGGCCTGCTGTCAGACGAGCCCCAAGGCGTGTAAGTGGGCACAAGAGGGACGTACCAGGAGAGACATGCTACTTTGCGCAAGATGGACCATGGCCGAGTAGAAATTGGCACGTTGATAGAAAGCGGATGCGACCACGGCGGCTGCAGAGGCCATGGAGGCCTGTAGTTGGCAGCATCAGTCAGTATGTTGATGATATGCACAGTTCACGAGAGCTCCTTAACCCGTCGTGGAGCTGGAGGTTCAACCTACCGTTGCGTACCACTGGAGCCGCATCTTGTTGGGTTTATTTTGCAACAAGAGCGCAGAAAGCGGGAGATGTCTGTTCGATTAAGTGGTGATTGTTAACGAAGATGGCGGCAAGAGTCAAGTCGCCATGGTTGTTTGCGCAAGATGGAGGTGCCGCCGCAGTTGGAGAGCTCTTGAGATTATGGTAATCAATTGGCCACGTTATGGAAAGAGCCAGGATCAGATGCCCGAGCCGAACGACACCACCACCTGTGACAGTGACGCTGCCAAGCCACCAGCCACACCCGACTTGCATTCCATCGAATGAGTGGCGGTGCAGCTGTTTGCTGAAGAGCTGAAGAAAAAGGGGGCTCGGTCCAATCACATCAATTCATTTTTCATTTACAAGTTCAACGCCAAACCATAAGCAACTCTCCCCTCCATCATCACTCCGGCCTTGCTCGCAGCAATTCGAAGTCGCCCAAATCTTCCAGCTAATACCTGGTACTTCATTGCGGTTACAACACTTTCACAACTCAATCGGCCGGATGAAATCCAGAAAGCGTCCTTGCATACGTTGAGTCAAAAATGGCCAAGTGGCGAAGACACTCTGCCAAGTTTCGATGAGAAACGAGACATCTCACGATGAATGTGTGAGGCCTTGATCAAAACTGCCGCCGTCACAGGTATCCCAAAGGTATCCTCCAAGTCTAAGGTAAATTAGATCTGTGGCAACGCTCATGATTCACCAGACCATCAACGCCCTTCTAGAGGTCAAGAAAGTAACACCAGATGACCTTCTCGACGAGCCGCAAGGACCCTCGCCGAAGGAAGACCATCTGATATTCACGACACCCCAGTATCCCAGATTCTAGACGCGGACAAGAATTCTTCGAGGGCATCTACGGTAAAATAACCAAGAGAGTCATGGGTCAAATGGACCGATCAGGAACCGAAGACCTCGGCCTCGTCGCTCGCCTGGTATATGGTTACATTCTCAGCAACAGCAATGTCCTCGGCGCCGTCGAGACTTCCTATGTCATGATTGCCGGGTTGATATCACAAGATGTGAGGTTGATGCTGTGTCTCGCTGGCCCCAATCAAAGCTGATGAGTTCACGGGTCAATCCTCAGCTAAAAGGCCATCTCAGAGGAGCTCTCAATGGCGGTGCCACGGTCGATGGGGTAAAACGCTGTCCGCAGCGTCGTCATGGACATCTGTGTAGCGTCCGGGATGAGGATGCTGGACAGCGACGTCCCCGCGGGTTTTGGATGGAGGGTTGAGCCTGCTGATTTGTAGCCTCAATCCAACAAGACCCTCCCTCTTATCCAATCCCACGAAAATGAAGCATTTCCAAAGTAACCCTTATTTTCTTAGCTTCAAGATCGTCCAGATCCGTCAAGACGATCAGGGTCGCCAAGCAGGGTCGCCAAGAGCCCAGTTTGGTACCTAGAAGTGAAGAACCATGCAATCACATTCAGCTGGTTCGTGATGCGGAATGCATTCCACAAAAGCACAAATCTTCATGAATTTCTCGAGAAGTTGAGATGACTGGCATTCGAGGAAAAAATCATAACCGGTATTTTATGTAATAGCCTTCCTTCGCGTTGCTCGTTCTCACCAACTTGGGTATCTTGTCCGTCATATAGTGGAGCCGTTTGTCCAAGCCAAGAAGGGGGATTAAAGCAGGACCCGGCCTCGGCCTCTGGGTCTTTTTGACTCGAGACCTCTTGCCTTTCATTTCACCTTTGCATACCATTACAAACTATCTGCAACTTGTGTGCTTTCCCGGCTTGTATTCCGCTCCCATCTTTTCACCGCCAACATATATACTCGGCCTTCGGCATCTTTCAGCTTACACTCAATGCTTTTGCAAACAGCCCCGTCAGCAGGAAGTGACAGTTGGCTCGCCGTCGTCAAGAAGTTTTATTCAACTGGCTGGCGGGCGCCACGAATACGACGGTTGGCCCAATCACGCTGGGTTTGTTTGGCCGAGCTGAACTTTTACCCCCAGGATCTCACTCGCGCCACTGCTTCGTCAGTGGTCTTGGCTTGGGGAGCTGAAAACTTGAGGAGCGGATGAATTCCGCGCTGATTCTGGGGGGAGAGGGGAGGGCTGTCTATAAGAACGCTGGTGCCCGTTCCCTTTTTTCTCTGAGATTTGGTTATGCTTGGGGGTTGGGAAATTTATGTCAACATCGGAGATTGGTGGTGTTTGGATTGTGGACGAGCTGGACAACTGGGATCGCCCGATATGGAAATTTGAGATACGCCTTACTGCATTCGGGACGACTTGGGCTGAAGGATGGGATGACATGAGAAAAGTAGGATGGACGACAAGAGAAAGAGCGAGGATCATGAGAAGAGGCTATGAGAGTCAGATGGGGCACGACAAAGATGGAAGACCCAGGAAGGACCGCATAAAAGAGCCAGGAATAACAGGAATGGGGGAAATCAAAGACTCGACCAGCTGGATATGAAGTTATGGCCGGCATCCCACCTCACCTACCGATCGCCTCGAACTCGACGACCCCGACGACCCTTCACTCGCTCTTCCGTATCCTCCTCAACACCCCAACCGCCAACCACCTCTTCCTAACACTAATATCCTCCACCCCCCGATCCCAAACCCACTCCCTCTCACCCCCATCACAATCCCTCTCCCACAACCTCTCCACCTCCAACCCTACCTCAGCCAATTTCTCCTTGTCAAAAAACCCTCTCATCTTTTCCCTTCCCGTATGGAAACCCGCCACAACCCACGCCCTAGCATCCTCATCCTCCCTCAAAAACCACCCAACCGACCTCCTCAAATTCACATGCTGCCACGGCATCCAAAGACAATCCGCCACAAACACCCTATCAAACTGGTGTTTATTTCCCTCCGCCAATGGCGTCTCCAATTCCCCCCACCCATGTCCCTCAACGACCACCTCTTCAAGACGATACCTCCCATCAACCCCATTCTTTTTTTCCACTCCCCTCAGCACATTCTCCTTGAGTGTCTTGATCACCTCTGGAGCAGGATAATCAGTCACCACCACCCTCTTGCTCCCCATCAAACCCCCCATTATACTTGGCAGTGCCGTCCCCGCCCCTAATTCCACCGTTTCCAGGCCCGTGACATCAAAATCTTTGATCTCGCCACCGAGGCCTGACCAGGGGATGTCCAGCCCCAGAGTGCCGGCTTCGATGAGTTCAGCGAGCATGAGGGATGAATTCCAGAGGTAATGGGAAAAGAGGTGGCGCTCTTTTTCCTCGGTGACGTTGGCGAGCGAGAATTGCAGGGGTTGCGGGAGGTGGGGGGAGGTGTAGAGGAGGCCGTGGTCGGCGTCGCCGTGTTGGTTGGTTACGTCGTCGGGGAAGATGATGCCTAGGGAGGAGGAGAGGTAGTCTTCTGGGTCGGTGGTGTCGGGGCCGGTGAGGGCGAGGCGGGAGGTGAGGGCCATTTTTTTTATTACTTTGGATGTTGGGAGGTGAGATTGAGAGGTGAGAGGAGGGGTGAGAATGGTGAGTGTTTCTTGGGAAATGAGGTGAGTGAGATGGAGTTGTGAGACTCTGCAAGTGAAGCTCACAATCAGTGATGATATCAACTCTTGGTGTTGATCACCCCACCAAAGGAAGCTCCCAGAAGCCCACTCAGGCCAACTAACTACCTTAGCTTATCTGTTTATCGCGAGTTTTTGGACGTGGGGTCGCTGTCGTCGCCAGTCAATGGAGGGGTAGCTTGCTCAGACACTCACAACCAGCCGGAACGTCCGTTGGAAGCCCAAAAAAAACGGCTACAGAACACTGTTTCTATGCATTCGAGGTATTTTTCTTGTTTTGGGTGGACAGCCAACCCCAGTGTCGGCGCGAGCCGTGAGCCGTCGAAACCCGCGTGCAATCGCATAGAGCTTATCGGTGACACGATGAAATTTGATAAGTGTTTTAGTGCACAAATCACACTACATAGCAACAGTTTCAAAGTAGAGCTTCACACTTTATATCAATAAAACAAGCAGTGTGATTTAGCATGATCTGCTTTTCTCTACGTCTTTGCTTTTTTGCTACTTTCTTTGTGAAATTCCGGTGTGAAGTGTTTCATGCCAGTTCCAATCCAACTCACAGGTCCAACACCATGCTAACCCATCACCCCCAAATGATTTCGCCTCCTCCCCAGCACCATGGGTATTCAACCAACTCAAAAAACAACACCACCCCACCAACCCCCCATTCTCAACCACCACCCTTTTTTCCGCCCTCACAAACCGAAAGTTGACCATCTGCAAAACAGGCCAAACCGCTCAGTTCCTCACCAGTCCCTTCACATACGTCCCTTCCAACCTCTCCTTGACATCCCAAATACCAAATAAAAGTGAGCTCAAGGGGAGTTACCAGTCCCATAAACCGACATCCTCCCTGTTCTACCCCAGTCATGCTTCCAAAACGCCGTCTTTTCAACAACCTGCTGCGCCAGGGACATCTCCAGCCGCAAAAAGAAACGCGGCGGTGGTGCTCTGCGTCAGGACTGGGCGGGTGGAGAGGTTGTGGTGGTCCCATTTTCAACATAGCGAATCGGTTCCCCCCTTCCCCCAAACCTGCTACAAAAACCCACACAAAACAATAATGGATAGATAATGAATCACACCCAGAAAGGATGAGAAAGGTAAAAACACACACACAAAACTAGGTGGGTGAGTGACCCAGAAACCTAAACCTTTTTTTGTAGATCATATGCCAATACCGTTGGGAGATTGTGTCACCAATGTCACGAATCACAATCAATATCTCATCATTATTGCCATTATTAAATGGCGCAAAAAAACAAAAAAAAAAAAGGATTAAAGAAAGAAAAAACTCAGACAAACCACTCTTCCATATCCCACAACTTAACAAGAGCGACGGCGAGCCCATTAGTAAATAATAAACCATACCAATAACTACTATATAAGCAACCAACTTTGTTCCTCTGCACACAAACATCAAATAGCAAATCGCAAGAAAAGGTGTTGAGAACAATATGGGTATCGTTGTTGTTGTAGTAGTAATACTAAACAAGAGCTAAGAAAATTTCCCCAAGTCCCTGGGTAGGTAGTGTTTGCTCCCCCTTCCTCTTCTTCCCACTCTTACTTTGGTCTCGTAGTAATAATAAGAATAATTTTTTTGAGTTCCTTATAGCCCCATTCCCTTCCCCTTCTCCCCCCCCCCCCTCCCAAAAAAACCCCCATTTGGTATTTCATTGCAGTCATTAAGGCCCTCCCATTCCTTATTCTCCCAAATTTCCAGGGCGACAGCATAAAAAAAACAAAGAAAAAGAAAAAATAATGTCACAGAGTAGAAAAGAAAAGAAGAAAAAAAAGGCCCCATGAATGCCATAATGTTCCCAGCCAAATCCAATCAATCCCATGGGATATAAAACCAGCCCCCCTAGAAAAAACGCCGCGTGTATTTTTACAAACTCTTTGTAGATCCCCAGAGGTAATATACCCCCTCTATAACCAACAAGCCCAAAAAGTAAATGTGACGATGTATGATGGTGATGATTAGTTTGGTAGTTGTTGCAGTATAAACCTCAAGTGAAAGAAGAGTGAGTGAAACAGTCATGGTATTTACTGAGCGGCGGCAGCAGCAGCGGTGGTTGTTGGTTCCGGGGCGGTGTAGGTAAGCATCTGCTTGAGCTGCTCCTCGGTCGGGTCGTCCGAGACCCAGGGACCCTTCTCCTCCTCGGTCGCGTTGAGGAAGCCGTCGGCACGCTTGAGCGTTTGCATGTCGAGGTCGGTGACGTAGGACTTGCCGTCGGAGAGCTTGATGCGGACTTCTTGCTCGGTCGAGAGCATCATGTCATCCTTGGCCAGGCGGCGGGGGCCGTCGAATACCGCCATGACGCGCTTCTTCATTGTCATCTGACCCTTGTCGAAGCCCCATGAGGAAGGATAGTCGCGCCTGTTCTTGCGACCCCGGGTCTTGGTGGGGAGCGTGACACCGCCGCGCGAGTGTGTAAGCCCGCGGGACTTTTGCACGCCGTTTTGTGGGTTTCCACCCTTCCTCTTGGTGGGCGAGCCCTTGAGGCCGCGAGCCCTGAGCTCATCTTCATCGCCGTCATCCATGTTCTCATCCTCGTCCTCGCCATCTTGAAGTGTCATGGTGGTTGTTGGGAGGTTGTTCTTCTCCAGGGTGTTGTGTACATCGCGATCGTTTTCCACCTCGGCCAACCGCTGGGCGTTGATGGCCTCTGCTGGGTCCTCTTGCTGGACAATGCGGAGCACACAGTCGTCAAGATGCTCGTAGAAGTCCTGGGCGTTGCTGAAGGTTGACGAGCAAGTGGAGCACTTGCCAGTCGCATCAGGGGCGTAGCCAGTCAACTTCTTGGTCCCGTTGTTTCCAGCGGCAGCCTTCTTCCGGCTGTTGGGCGGTGTTTGCTCGACACCGTGCACAGCAGTCAAGTGGCGCTTGAACACATCGGCACGGTTGAACGACTTCTCGGCCGCGGAGCCAGACCCCGGGCAGAAACCGCAGACCATGGTGCCCTTGTAATGTGTAAGGGTATGTCTGTTCTTGTCGTATCTGATGAGACCACTTGTTAGTATCCCGCAACTGATTCCAAGTCAAAAGACAACTCACTTTCTCGCAAACCCCTTCACGTGATACTCGCATGTTGTGATGGGGCACTTCTCGGGGCGCTCCTCTTGGTGAGTGAGCATGTGCGCCTTGAGGTCCTTGAACACCTTGCCGCACTCGGGATGTGGGCACCTCTGCTTCTCCTTGAACTCATCGCCGCTGTATTGCTGCTCGCCCGAGTAGTTGGAGTGGAAAGAAACAAGGCTTGGTCTCCTTTGGGCCTCCACTGGTGGCGGGTATGGCGAGTACTGGTAGTTGTTGTGCATGAAGGGCGAAGTGCTGCCGTTTCGCAGTTGTGGGGAGGCAGACAGAGCAGGAGAGGCAGGATATGCGGAGTTGGGCTGGGCCGAATATGGCTGCTGCTCAAAGCCAGACATGGTCATTGGTCTCGCGTCTGGGTGAATCAAGATGGGATCTGCAACGGGCAAACGCTTCGGGTTAGCAAGGCCGCCAAGGGTCAAGATCTGCGTTTGCGACAGAGGAAACCAACAGGAATTCTGAAGAGGAGGAACGAAATGCCCGCTGGATTGGGCAAAAAAAGGAGATGAAAGGAGACGATTGGTGGGCGTCTTGGGACGAGCCGCAGGGCTGTCCCCCAGAGGGGGACTGCTCCATGCTGGAAGTTGAGGAGAAGAGAATGAAGATGTAGAAGAAGCAGGAGACGCAAAGACGAGCCCGGAGGCCGCCGAGGAAGGACAAGAAGAAGCAGAAGCAGCTGAAAAGGAAGGTGTGACATTGAAGGTTGACGATGTAGTCACCACAGACTGGGCCAGACGCGTATCGACAGCGAGACAGGAAGAAGCCGCTCCCGGGACCTTGGGAGCGACAATGGTAGATCCAGAATCGCAGGAATCCGAAGAGGAGATGGAGGCACACGAACCATGGGTCTGGTGTCGCGGACTCCAGTCCCGGCGAGAAGAAAGACAAGAAGATGACCTAGGGATCTGTGATAACTCACCAACAAAGCCTGGTGTTTTCCCGCTGGGATACTCGAAAGCTGTGCTGTACTCATCACCATAGACACCGGGCGCGTATGAATATTCGCTGCCGGGGAGGTGAAAGTCGCTTGCGTCGACGATGCCCGGGGTAACCCCAAGTCCGTGGGGGCCCGTGGCCCACTCAGGGATCGGCGCCATTTGGCCGTGACTCGAATTTGGGGAGCCCGCGTTGGAGGATGAGGCGCTGGCGATGCTCAGATCCGAAGCTGGTCCTCTCAGATCGCTGTCGTCTGGGTACATGCCAGGTGATGACCTCTCGTGGTTACCGTTATGGCTGTAGAGGTATGGTGTGTCGGCGGTGTAGATGGCTCCGTGCTCATAGCCAATTGTCGTCGGGAACTCGTGTGATGACCTGGAGTAGGCGCTGTAGGGCTCTGGGGAAAGTCCCAGGTCCATGGGCGCGGATGAGAAGTGAGGGGGTTCTGGGTAGCTCATGTTGTAGTCGTCGGCCTCGTGGTGGCCAGTTGCCGCCATTTGATGCCTGTGAAGGAAGAAGATGCTGAGCTAGAGAGAGACAAATGGCGTCAGTCCAGCTGCCTCGTGGCAGCGCGTGGGCTTTAAGAGACGGACCTCAGTTGTGCCTGCTCAGGTGTGGGACTGTGCCGTGTTGTTGCTGATCGGGTTGTGTTGATCTTCTCTCTTTCCAAAAACTCTGCTGTTCTGCTGTTCTTTCCAAGCTATTGTTATTATACACCAAAGCCGCAGTGGAACGAGTGTGTAAGTCCTTGTCGGAGACGGCCCGAGGCGGTGGACTTGTTTGGATCCGGGGATATGGATTTGGTGTTTGACACGGGATGAGGTGCGCCAGTGGAAAGGTTTGGGCGGGGGGATGAGGATTCTAAATACCCCCCCATTCACATCTTGCAGGCCCAGAGGTGGTGGAGGCATCGATCTCCCAGTAGGGCCCCAGTGCCCAGTCAGAGAGGCTGTGGTCAGTTCACGAATTTGCAGGGGAACAAGGGGAGGGTTGACAGGGGCAGGGGGGCATGGGGCAGGGGCCCAGCGACTTCACTTCTGGGACGGAGGTACATTGGGATTGGGATGGTGACATGAGGCTGGGTACATGAAGGAGTACAAAAGGTACAAGATACAAGGGAGGGCGGGGGATGGGTTCCCTCCAGTCCTGGTCAGTTCCGAACCTCTGGTTGGCCACCGACAAAGACAGGGGTTAGCGAGTGTCGGCGGAGACCTCGAGGCTTGGTGCGTGCTTGCAGTTGCAGTTTACTTTTCCCTTTCTGTTTCTCCCCCAGATGGAAGTCAGTCAGAAGTCCCCGGATCAACAAGACAGAGGAGGATCAGGAAGAATGCAAGACAGACAGAAGAGAGATGAAATCCCGTCCACGCCTCTGGGTCCCGAAGAATGGACCAGCCGCGACCATGGTCGGCCATCTCCTTCCCGCTCTTCATCACTGAAACTGTTTCTGCTCCTCGTCCTGATCGGGTACTCTGTCCCCCACGTTCTGGACTCTGGAACCAGCCCGGACATTGCCATTCGCTGGCTACCTGCTATTTGTGCCCTTCTCCTTTGTTGCTATCATAGATTCTGCTGTCGGCGCAAGGGGCATCAGTGTCGGAAGCGAGACAGGATGGTGTTTCGATGTCTTCCCTCTTATCACTGAGGACTTGCTTCTTTTCCCCTGATGAGGGACAGGTAACTATAGTAGGCGGCCGGGATGACCGCAGCAACTGACGCCAACCGCCTGTTTCCCTCATCATGAGGTTGATGATCATCTGTTGCTGTCCCTGTGGCTGTTGTACAACGGGCAAGCCCTTCAAAGACTTGTCTCACGGCCCATACGCCGTTTTGGGAGACTAAAGCATGCTTTTCCCCTCACTCCCCTCACCAGAAACAGACTCCTCACCCACCACCCCTCCTCGCAGTCGACGTCGAGGGGGCGAGACCCTTCTTTGCAAGCATCACCTCTGATCAATTTCTCCACTGCAAAGCCGGCCAAGAGATGACCGACCGCCGGCCACGGGGCAACCGGCAGAGAGCGAAAAACGCCATCACCGGTATTGCAGAATTCTGGTGGCTCCGAAGTGGACCTTTGGCTGCGATCACGATTCGCGATCTGACCCACGAGAGGTTATCACCACAAGTGCCGTGATATTGTGGAGGCTCTGGCCGTGCCGCAGGTCCCGGTATATCGCAGCATGTAGAAAAGACGTCAACTGCTTCGAATCCATACAGCAAGAGAAGAAGAAAAAAGATATTTTTACTCCATCCCTCTTTGTGCTGTGCTGTGCTGCGGTGCGGGTAGCTGCTGCGCATTCTTACCCCTCCGGCCGTCCGATGATTAAGCTGCCCTTCGAACATGTACATAGTGGCTTGACCGCCCTGAGCAGCCAATGGGAAGCTCAGACGGGTGTGATGTGCAATGTGCTGTGCACGCTCGAAATAAAGTGCACAGCCTTATCTGCACCCGCATTAGGCAGAGCTGTCCTGCCAAAAAGGAGGGGAGGAGAGTGTACAACTTTTTGTGCAGCAAATCGTGGCTTGACGTATGTGATGTCCTGCGTGGGTGTGCACAGTGGCTCTTGGCATCTCATGACTTGACTTGGGCCTTTTCCAACTGGGGACCGTTGAAGCCAACAGTAAACAGTTCTACTAGTTATTACTAGAAAGATCTTGTCCTGCAGGGAATCGGCATGTGTTCCGGTGCCCTCGCGTTGTTGTTGTTGTTGTTTCGTGCCATGTCATCCTTTTTTCTTGTCCTTTTCTTCCACCTGTTGGCCGCCTGTCAAACCGAAGCCGGAACTTTGGAAAGATGCTACCTTATGACATATAGCTACCATGAACAGTTCCCGTGGGTGAAGCCCGAAGTTGTGTTGTATGATGCAAGCATGTTGCATGTCCCGTCAGGGCGAGAAAAATGAGAGGTCGAACCCATCCGAGGCTCGTGTTCGTTCGGCCGAGGGTGGTCAAGGTGAACGACGTAAGTATCAGGGAAAAACCTGCGGGCTCGTACATAGATCCGGCGCCGGCGCGGAGATGTCACGGTCTTGGTCTCAACCCGCAAGAAATCAGATGGTCCACCAAAAACAAATGAGAGTTCGGATAATGCGGGTGCGACGGCTTGGTTAAAATGGCAGCAGCACGAGCACCCATGTTGCCGGCTGCGGAACCCATCATTTTCCATCTCCGTATCCCATCCAGTGGATAATTTGTCCGTGCCTGTCTGTCTTGCCGAACACGTGTTGCTGTTCTTCTCTAATGCATTTTTCTGTGTTTCGTTTGATCGGAGAATGCCCGGCGAGGAACACTAGAAATACAGGCTCGGGAACAGAACAGAGCAAGATTCTGTAGTTTGGTACTGTGGACTGGGGGCGACCAATTGACACTGTTTGATCAGCATCACCCGCCATGTTTGTTTAAGCCAAGCTTTTTAGCGTAAAAGTGTAATGTGGTATCAAAGATGACATATCGGTGCCAAGATCACATTCGCTTTTCCAACGTCAACAGCGACAGCAGTGGCCGTTGATGAAGCGATGCACGATGCGGGAGCGCGAAATTGATAATCTGTATGTATCTCTGGATCGAGTTGCACAACCGGTGATCCGGGGCGACCCACTGGATCTCCTTCTGGTGGACCATCACAATCGGTGCAAAGCCAAGTAACACGGCACTCTATGATGCAAGTCGGGACGAACGAAGGGCCTCAGACATCAGGACCATTCGGGGCCAGCGGAAAGCGGCACAGTGTCTCTGATAAAGAATGTACCGGAAGCTGTTGTGGATCGAGGAGCCGACGCAGGGCAAGAGAGTCGGTTGTCAATGTGAGAAGTGCATAGGACCCTGATGTTTCGCCCTGCTTATTTGGAGATGGCATGTGCTACGTAGTAAACACATGCTCATTAGCTATATTCCTGTCACATTCCCATCAACCTTCATATCCACTTGAATGCTGCCGGGTGATTCCCGGTTGTTGGTACTATTGCAGACGTCGACGTTGAAGTGCCAGTCCTGCAAAAGAGATCAAATTGTTGGAGAAACCTCAAAGTTCCAATGATGCCCAAAGAGGTCTTGGCGTGGCTGAGTCGCCATGATCCACCATTCCGTGGCTTATTGGCTTCTTTACGGCTACGGGCGGGGCGGGACCTGTGTCTCTCCCGGAACTGTGGGGGAGCTTCAAAAAGGTAAAATCCAAAAAAAGACACGGCTTCGGGGGCGGTGCTACCCTTGGAGTCGGGACCAGTCAAAGCAGAGACAATGCTGTGACACCGGTCGACGTACAGATATTCTACATACGATTCAATTTCATTCCAAGCGATCCATGTAGGAAGGACCTCATCGCGCCCGGTGTGTCGTTCTGTCTATGTTTCTAGATAGATACCGACAGTGTGGATTTGTTCGAGGCAACATCTCCTGCTAACGTTACCGACTGCGACAGTACTAGTTCATAAATTCCATTTCCTGAGGCAAGGCAGTAAGTAGCGGACTCCATTGTCAAAGTCGTCTGCCTACGTGTATGCAAGCACCCGCAGGCTCGGATTGCCTGGCTCTAGTCGGTGGTGCTCTCGGGCATAGTCTACTGTGTTTTGCTGGTTCGGTGTCTGAAAGAAAATCCGTTCATCCACCATAGCTATCACGGATACGAGTACAGGTGCAGCTCCTATCGAAGCGTGGTGAGATCAGATAACCTGACTGCAAGTGTACAACTTCCTGCCAAGCTTTGGCGCCACCTCGCGTGAGAGCCACCACCAGGTCCCAATCGTGGGGTTCAGTCACAGGCTTGGGTCGAAGCAAGCAGCCCTTCGGAGTGCGTCTACGCTCCAACGTTTTGTGTGGATGGACTCGGCCAATGAGCGATGCGAAGCCGACATGCTCTCATGTATTCGAGGCCTCGCGATGGCACAGTCGAGGCTCTACCACATGCTCGTCTCAGGCCCTATTCAGTTCGTATCTTTCCAATCTTCTCTTCCATCCGAAACACTGGCAGAAGCATCACCACTCACTTCATGCCATTATCCAGTGCCATGCCGTGCCCAGACTTGTTGGTCTATTTCAGTCAAACGGCTGTTAGCGAACCATGCTTCGCTCCGCCACCCCCGCCGGCAGTGAGCCCGAGTCCCTGCCGCACTACGGCTTTGGACACGCAGAGGCTGACGTTGGTTCCTGGCAGAGAGGTCAGACATCTCGACGATGATTCAAGACCTCTGGCAGTCCATGACTTGATGCTTGGTTGGTGGTTGCGGTGGTGCCAAACAAGTCCCGTCACTGAGTGCGGCACACAGGGTCCATGCCATGCAGTGGTGCATGTTAATGCCAATGTAATCCTGCAATCTGATTGGACCCAACGAATGTCCACGATCTGTAGGAAATAGGGGAGTGGCTTGTTTTCTTTTTCTCGTTTCTCGTCCCTTGGGTCTCGACACATCAGGCCTGGAGCAGTTTGATGTCGGCCAACAAGCGACCAGCTCAAGAGCAGCCAAAC